CTTAAATATTAAAAAAGTTTAAATAAAATTGGTGATGAAGGTGCATTAGGCTTAGGTTCTGCTTTAGCAAATTGCATTAATCTCTCAAATTTGGCACTTAACCTTTAGTAAAATCAGTTTATTTATTTTGGATTTTGATATTTTTAATTATAAAAATTAATTTAAAACAATAAAACTCTTATTTCTTTTTCTAATTATTGTGCTTGTTTTTTTTGTTCTTTCTTTGTTAATTTAACTCATCATTTTATTTTTAACTTTTGCTTTAATTATTAATTAATCTATTATTTTATAATTTAATTATATATTTTTCTTCAATATTGAAAAAGTGACAATAAAATTTGTGATGAAGGTGTATTAGGCTTAGGTTCTGCTTTAGCAATGTGCATTAATATCTCAAATTTGGCACTTTTTCTTGGGTAAAAACAGTTTATTTATTTTGGGTAGTTTTATTTTTAATTATAAAAACAAATTTAAAATAATTAAGCTCTTTTTTCTTTTTATTGCGCTTGCTTTTTTTTCTTCATTTTTTTAATTTAACTCATCATTTAATTTTCAACTTTTGCTTTTATTATTAGTTAATCTTATTATTTAATATTATTTCTTATTTCTTTCCTTCTAATTAACTAATTAATAACATATTTTTTCTTTAAAATTTAAAAAGTTTTAATTAAATTAGTGATCAAGGTGCATCAAGCTTAGGTTTTGCTTTAATAAATTGCATTAATCTCTCCACTTTGACACTTAACTTTAAGTAAAAATAGTTCATTTGTTTTTTATTGTGATGTTTTAACTATAAAAATTAATTTAAAAAACAATAAAGCTCTTTTTTCTTTTTCTTTTTATTTTGCTTGCTTTTTTTTTTATCATTCTTCCACCATTTTATTTTAGACTTTTGTTTTTATTATTAATTAATCTTATTTTTTCATATTTTTTCCTTCTAATTAACTATTTAATAATATATTTTTTAGTAATTTTTTGAACTAAAATAAAATTGGTAACGAAGGTTCATCAGGCTTAGGTTCTGCTTTAGCTAATTGCATTAATCTCTCAAATTTGACACTTTACCTTAAGTAAAAACAGTTTATTTATTTTGGATTGTGATATTTTTAAATATAAAAACTAATTAAAAACAATAAAGCTCTTTTTTCTTTTTCTTTTTATTGTGATTGATTTATTTTGTTCTTTCTTTGTTAATTTAACTCATCATTTTATTTTCAAGTTTTACTTTTATTATTTATTAATTAATCTTATTATTTCATCTTCATTTTTTTCCTTCTAATTAATTATATAATTTTTCTTCAATATTTAAAAAGTGACAATAAAATTGGTGACGAAGGTGCATCAGGTTTAGGTTCTGGTTTAGCAAAGTGCATTAATCTCTCAAATTTGACACTTGAGCTTAGGTAAAAGCATTTTATTTGTTTTAGATTGTGATATTTTTAATTATTAAAACTAATTTAAAAAGCAATAAAGCTATTTTTTCTTTTTCTTTTTATTATTCTTGCTTGCTTTTTTATTATTTCTTTGTTAATTTAAATCATAATTTTATTATCAACTTTTGCTTTTATTATTAATTAATTAATTAATCTTATTATTTCATATTTTTTCTTCATTTTTTCGGCGGGGGAGGGGGTGGTGAAATTCAGAACACCATTATATTGATTTGGTACATAAATATTATAAAATTTAAAAAATTAATTATTAGAATTTTTTCAAATATAACCTACTACCTATCTCTAATGACTACTATATTTTTAAGTTTATCTTTAGATACTAATATTAAGATTTAATAATGTATGCTAAATTAATTTTTCTGTGATATCTATCACTTCATAAAAGCAAATTTATTAATTAATATTTGATAATTAATTATTTATTTTATTTGTTTTTTTATCCATTTTTTATTAATTAAATTCCATAAGTTGCTTTTCAATATATTTGAAAAAATAAATAAATGATATAATAGATTAAAAAATATTACGAATTTTAAGAAGTAATTATTTATTTTTTTATTAATATCCTTTAGATTTTTATAAATTAATAAAAAAAGTTTTTAAACTCTTCATTTTTATCTCATTAAGTTCTCCATATTGATTTGACGTAAATTTAATTTTTTTTTTAATATTATTTTTATTACTATTAATATTTTTTATATATTTAACTTTTAACTCATTTAAATAAATAATTTTTCTAATAGAAATTATCATGATTATTCATTGATTTTTATTAAAACAATAATTTTTTAGCTCTTTTAACTTAATTTTTATTAAATTTTTAAATACTTTTTATTCATTTTTATTATTTGATATTTTTTCTTCATTTTTGCTAGTAGCACTTACACTTGATAAATACACTTGTTTTTGATTTTAATATTAATAATTATAAATTAATTTGAAAGATTAAAGCTCTTTTAATTTATTTTCCTTTTTCTTTTTATTGTGTTTGTTTTTTTTTTGTTAATTTAACTAATTATTAATTAATATTATTATTTCATTTTATTTCTTCATTTTTTCCTATTAATTTACTATTTAATTAAATATTTTTCTTCAATATTTAAAAAGTGACAATTAAATTGGTTTTATGGGCGCATTAGTATTAGGTTCTACTTTAGCAAATTGCATTAATCTCTCAAATTTGACACTTGACCTTGGGTAAAAACAGTTTATTTGTTTTGGATTATGATATTTTTAATTATAAAAACTAATTTAAAATAATAAGCTCTTTTTCTTTTTCTTTTGCTTGCTTTTTTTGTTCTTTCTTTGTTAATTTAACATCATTTTGCTTTCAAACCTTGCTTTTATTATTAATTAATATTATCATATTCTTTCATATTTTAACTTCCTTATTTCCTTCTAATTAACTAATTATTTATATTTTTTTTCTTCAATATTTAAAAAGTGACAATTGCATTTGTGACGAAGGTGCTTCAGGCTTATGTTCTATTTTAGCAAATTGTTTTAATCTCTCAAATTTGACACTTATTCTTTAGTAAATACAGTTTATTTGATTTGAGTTGTGATATTTTTAATTATAAATTTAAAACAATAAAGCACTTTGTTCTTTTTTTTTATTGTGGTTGCTTTTTTTTGTTAATGTAATTCATCATTTTGTTATTATTAATTAATCTTATATTTGATTTTTTTCTTCATTTTTTTCTTCTAATTAATTATATTTTATTCTTCAACATTTAAAAGTAAAAATAAAATTGGTGCAAAGGGTGCATCAGGCTTAGGCTCTTCTTTAGCAAAATGCATTAATCTCTCAAATTTAAAACTTAATCTTCGGTAAAAACAGTTTAATTGCTTTGTATTGTGAAATTTTTAATTAATACAAAATAATAAAACTCTATTTTCTTTTTCTTTCCACAATGATTGCTTTTTTTTTTCTTAGTTATTTTAATTCATCATTTTATTTTCAACTTTTAATTTAATTATCAATTAATCTAATCTTACTATTTCTTATTTTTTCCTTCTAATTAACAACTTAATTATTTTTTTTCTTCAATATTAAAAAAGTGGCAATTAAATTGGTGTAATGGGTTCATCAGGGTTAGGTTCTGCTTTAGCTAATTGCATTAATCTCTCAAATTTAAAACTTGATCTTCGGTAAAAATAGTTTAATTGTTTTGGATAGTCATATTTTTAATTATAAAAATGATTATTAAACAATAAACCTTTTTTTTCATTTTCTTTTTATTTTACATGCTTTTTTTTGTTCTTTTTTTGTTAATTTCATTTTATTTTTCTTCAATATTTAAAAAGTTACAATTAAATTGGTGACAAAGGTGCATCAGAATTAGGTTCTGCTTTAGCAAATTGCAATAATCTCTCAACTTTAAAACTTAATCTTTAGTAAATAAATACTGCTTATTTGTTTTGGATTGTGAAATTTTTAATTAAAAAAACAAATTTAAAATAATAAAGCTCTTTTTTCTTTTTCATTTTTATTTTACTTGCTTTTTTCTGTTCTTTCTTTCTTTGTTAATTTAATTCATTATTTTGATTTCAACATTTGCTTTTATTGCTTAATTAACCTTAGTATTTCATATATTTTCTTCATTTTTTCCTTTAATTAATTAATTATATTTATTTTTTTAATATTTAAAAAATTTTAATTAAATTGGTGACTAAGGTGCATCAGGCTTAGGTTCTGGTTTAGCAAATTGTACTAATCTCTCAATTTTAAAACTTGATCTTCTGTAAAAATAATTTAATTATTTCTGATTGTGATATTTTTAACTATAAAAACTAATATAAAGCAATAAAACTTTTTTTTACTTTTTCTTTTTATTGTGCTTGCTTTTTTGTTTTTTCTTTGTTAATTCTAATATTCATCTTATTTTCAATTTTTGTGTTTATTATTAATTATTCTAATTTTTCATATTTCTTCTTTATTTTTTCCTTCTAATTAACTAATTAATTATATTTTTTTCCTCAATTCATAAAAGTAGAAATTAAATTGGTGATGAAGGTACATTAGGCTTAGGTTATGCTTTAGCAAATTGCGTTAAACTCTCAAATTTGACACTTAATCTTTAGTAAAAACAATTTATTTGTTTCGGATTGCAATATTTTTAACTATAAAAAGAATATAAAGCAATAAAGCTCTTTTAATTTATTTGATAGCTTTTATTTTATTAATTTTTTTTATTCCGCTATTGCTATTTTATTCAAAAATTTAAGAAATAATTTTTAATTTTAAAGTTTAATTTATTTAATGTTTATTTAAAATTTACATAAATTTATTATAAAAGTTTTAGCCCAATGAATTATTTATCAAAATACAAGGTAATACGGAAGTGTCTTAAAGCAAAAAGATTAGTTGTCTTTAAAAATTAATTCTGATGATAAACAAGTAACGAAAAAAGGATGAATATTTATTAAATGTTTGAATTATTGAATATTATTTATTTTATTATACTGTAAGTTCTCATATATTAACATCCCCCCCCCCCATAAACTTTTGAAAATTTTTTTGGTTATATTAGAAAATTTTTAAAAACTGGACTTAATGTATTATGGCCTTAATATATGAACTTTTACAGTATTATTGGAATCTAATACTAATTTTGAATTTACTATATATATCATATGATATGTTTATGTTTTTATATTTGCAGAAAGAATTTTTAGGTAAAATTATACTAAACTAAAATTAATTTAGATTTTTATTTACAAAACATATATTTTTTATAAACTAAGTTGTTTTGTTATAGATAAAATAAATATTTTAATTATCCAGCTAATATATATTTTCTATTATGTTGAGATATATATCATATTATATATAAATTTTAACAAATACTAAATATTTCAAGAGAATATAATAAGAATAGTAAAATAACTCAATAATATAGTCAAAAATAAATAAATATAATTGATGTTTTCATTATTTTTAATTTGTATTTATTATTAAAATTTTATTAATTTGAATGACTAATTTTATATAAAATTATGTATTTGTATATATGAATAATAGAAATATTTTAATTACAATAATATATAAAATTATTTTTACTAATTTTATTTGATATGTAAATCTAACTAAAGTGAAACTAAAATTTTAGTATTTTATTTTTTGTGTAGGCAAAAACAACTTCATCTTTTAATTTAAATAAGTTTCTGATAATAACTAATTTTTGATGAATCTACAAGTAAATTTTTGATAACTATTCGATTTTCTTATTGATAAAAAAATGTACAAGAAATATTGAAATTCATTTAAAAAGTGAATAATATGCCTTTTTAGATTCATATATAATTTAAAAAATTTTTTGAAATAGACATATTTGTTAAGCTAATTTTTCTTTTTTTTTGCGTGTTCTAAATATTTATTACTCTTAATCATTCTAAAAAATAATTAATTCATTAGTATGCTATTAATGTAATCTAAACTTTACAATTTCACCTACCTATTTTGTTTTTAAAAATAATTTGTCCTTCCTGCTTAAAAAGTTCATAGTAAATTATAAATTATTTCTAAAATATAAACATTTATAGAAAATATAAAAAAATTAAAGATTTCATTATATTTAATTATATATAGTAAAAACTATTTCAAGAGATTACCTTCCAGACAGACCAAAATTTTATCAAATTTTTATATCATTATTTTATTAGACATATCATATTTGATGAAAAAGATTAAAATCCTCCCTCCTCAGCTTTTTTTTAGCTGTTTTTAAAAGATTTAATACATAATAAGTATCAATTTTAATATTCTTTATTCTACTAAATATTTTAATAGTTTTTCATTATTTATGATAGATAGATATAAATTTATTTATTACTAATGTAAGATAAAAAATCTTTCAGAAAAACCCGAATTAAATCAAAAAAAGCTGATCATAGAAAAGCTGATATCTAATTTGCAAATTTAATTTAATTTTGATAACTAAATGCAGATTTTTAAAAAATACACTCTTTGATTAGAATAAATTAATGAAAAATAATAAATTAATTAATTGAAAAAAAAATAAATTAAATAGCTTAAAATGAATAATAAAATTACTTCTATACTCATTGCAGTATGCTTATTCTAAATTGTACTTGCAAATCCTTGTGCTATATGTACTTATAGTACTGATGGTACTGATGCAACAACTTGTAATCCTTGCCCTTAAAATACTTGTACTCCTGCTGCTGGAACTAAAGGTAATGATAATACAGTATGTATAGCTCAACTTTGTCCTTAAGGTACAAGCAGTGCTACTGGTTTTGATACTGATGGTAAAGGAGCAGGCTGTACCTCTTGTCTTGCAGGTAATTACTCTGGTGTAGGATCTAAAACTTGCACACCTTGTCCTGCAGGTACCTATTCTAGTGCTGATAAAAGCGCATCATGCTAACACTGCGATATAGGTACTTATTCAACTCCTGGATCTGTAAAATGTTCAATTACAACTAAGCAATGTCCTGCAGGTTATAGTGGTCTTAACGCTGGTTATGATACTGATGGAAATGGCGCAGGATGTACTAAATGTGAAATCAACAACTGGTCTAATTAAGGAGCTAGTTAATGTTCTCCCTGCATCAATAACCGTACATCACCTGCTGGTTCTACTTCAGTTACTGCTTGTGCATGCCCTTAAGGAACTACAGGTCCTAATGATGGTATAAGTTTGTGCAAACCTAGTTCTTCTAGCTCCAACATTCTTTAAATAGCTTTAGTTTTTATTTCTTTAATAGTATTTTTTTGATATCTCTAAATAATTATTAAGATAAAATTGAAATAAATAATGGCAAAATTATTATTTATCATAATTATTAATGCATAAAATTTATATTATTTAAAGTATAATTTTTTATAATTATTAAAGAAATTATTTCAAATTTCAAAGTCTATCTTTATAAAAAACAACTGAAAAAAATTCTAATTTATTTTAAAAAATTATAATTACAGGCTATTCTTAAATTAAGTTGAAGCAAAAAATATTTATTTTTAGAAATATGTAATTTATTTATTGAATAAAAAATAGTAAAAACTTAAATAAAAATAAATGAACAAATATGAATTCCATGAATAAAGATTTATTAACTTTGAATAATATAGGTGTTTATATTATTACATTTTTGATCTTTTTACATTTTATAGTCATTATCAAAATAAATTTCTATTTACCAACTTCATACTTCTTTTTTTTCATACAAATATTAATCATTTAAATTATTTTTATAATAATTACCTAATATCAATTAAATTTAATTTAAATAAAATTATGCACAACATAAAAAATAATTAAAACATAAAGTAAAGTGAAGTTAATTTTTTTCAACACCTTTATTTAAATTTACAATTTAATTAAAATTAATCTAATTTAAGAACAAGAGGTAAAGTAAATATTTTTATATTAAACTTTTATGCCAAATTTTTAGTCCCTAAGCCAATTTTAGCAAGAAACTAAATGCCAAAGTAAAAGGTATTAAGAATATAAAATTTGAAATACCTTAATACCTCAATAAGAAAGTCGAACGAATAACGAGGTATTAAAAAAATAAGGAAAAATTAAGTTCATCAAATTTTATGAAGCAAAAAATTAAAATGCCTTTCTTTTTAATAAAATCACAGGTAGATAGATCTGTCAGATAAATTCTGACAAACCAAAATAAAAAAAGCAAGAAGGATACTTAGCATTCAAATTTCAATATCTGGTTTAGCAATAATTAATTTTGAATTAAAACAATGTTATATAACTATTTTTAATTTAAAATACTATGTTAATTATTAATATTTAGTTAGCATCAACTTTATTTTTTAATAGAGAAAAACGTAATTTTATTATAATATTTACTCTAATTAATTATCTTATACTAAAAATATAATTAAAATAAAATTTGTATAGTTCTACTTAAATCAACTTTTTATTATGCTTGAAACTATATATAAAAAAAATAATTAATTATTTATTATATTCACTAGATTTATTAAATATTTATATCAAATCTACCATAAAGGAAACTAAGTTCTATATTTTAATGTAACTTTACAAGAATCAGAAAATTAATAATAATTTAAATTATAAATTTATTTACGATTCTATTTTTTCTATGATTTTCTTAAATCAAGCTAATGAATTACTCCCAATTTAATGATTATATATTTATTTTATATTAAGCATAAAATCAACTGTAGATTTTTAAATTAAATAATTTAATAGAAAAAAATTCATACATTTTTTCATGATCTTAATATTTAAGGAAAGATTTGAGCATCATTATTTGATATTATTTTTAAAAATTTCTTTTTTCTAGAACGAAAAAGAATAATATTCCAATTATTTTTTCAATTGCGTTTAAAAAAATATTCTTAAAATATAAATTGAAAATATAAATAAACAAACATATTTTAATCATAGATTTTATTTAATAATTTTATATGACAAAAGCTTTTATTCAAAGCCAATTTTAAACAAATCATTATAAATAATATATTATTACAAATTTTATCAAAAATAGATTATATATTTGTATTGCAAAATTAGTTAAAAATCAAATAAGATGTTTGGAGAAAATTTACTAGATTTTTTCAATTAAGAATTTTATAATATTGAGAAGATAAAATTCAAATTAAGATAAATAAAAAAAAAATGTTGTTTTCCTCTTTTAGATTTAGATGAAGTGAACTTTTTAAGAAAAGAAATAATAAGATTTATGGAATAATCCTTTTAAAATAAACTCACGCTACAAATACAAATATAGTTTGAATGATTACTATTACCATTATTCTCTTAAAAGGTCATTAATGGAATAAAAAGAAGCAAGTTGATTGAATTTGAAAGATATCATGCATGTTTTAAAAATATCTTTCAATTAGATAATATTAATAAGAATTAATCAAAAAGTCTATATAATTAATTATTACTCCGTAAAAATTAAAGCAAGATCCATAAAATAAATCCCATCAAAATTGAAATATTTAAGTTAAGCAAATAAATTAATTATTCAAATATAGTAATCAAAAAATAATAAATCATATACTTTTTTTTATTTACAGAATAATAATAATAGCTTTTCTATTTATATAAAGATGTAACTTAACTTTTTTAAAAAAAATTATTTGATAATTGAATGTAGCTTGTTTATAAATAAATAAAAAAATACATTTTACCATTTTATTTTGAATATTATATTTATTCATTCATTCATTCATTTGCTGAATGATCTAAGCTGATCAAAGATTTTGAATAAAATTTAACTTTTATAAATAAAAATAAAAAGTATCGCTTTATGAAAATCAAACCATAAGAGGATTTTCTAAAGAACTTTATAAATATTCTTTTTACCACAAAAAAATATTGCGTATTGATTACTCAATGAATTCTACAAATTTCTTTAAAAGTCTTTGAAATAAAATTATTTTTATAAACCTAGAAATTTAAATATTTTTTAAAATTAACAAAATTTGGTCAATAAATTTTATTTTTTCTAATTATACTTATTATAATTATAAGTTGTCTTTCATAAAATAAATTTTCTATTTTCTAGCTTTAAAAAAGTTAGAGTTTAAAGATTACTTTAATTTAATTTAGGAGAGTAAATTTAACTAAAATGTTAAAATTAATAAATCGCTTCAGTTGAATATTTTTTTTGAAATAATTTAAAAATGTACTATTAAAAATTTTATTTACCGTTCATTACTTTGTATCATTTTCCTAATTACATTTTATTTCTTATAAATAAATCTTTATGATTTAGTTTTTGAAGATTCATAATTTAGGATCAGATTATAAGTGTATTGATTACAGTATTTTTTTAATAAGATTAATGTCTTAATTAATCAGAATTAAATATTTGTTAATACTATAAGGATGGATATGCAATAAATCTAAAGCATATAATTAAAAATACTAGGAATTTTAGAGTGTTAATATTTAATAGCTAATAAATTCAGGCTATAAATTGATTCGTTTTAATAGAAAAATATACTAAGTAAAAATAAAACAATTATAAAAAAATCTATTTATTTACACAATTTATATCGCATTAAATACAAAACTAATTTAATTCTTTTATTTCATTTCACTCAAAAATTATGCTTTTATCTGCTTAAAAAAATGCTGATTTGCTTCTATTTTGAGTCACATACACTTATAAAAAGATTAGTTATATCAAATTAAATAACTGATTGATGATAACTATTTTTATAAAGAAAAAAAATGAAAGGTTTTAAAAATATTGTAAACAAGAGCTTTAAGCTAAATTATTATAAAATCTTTCAAATGTAAATTAAAAAGATTAAATAAAATTAATTTTCACAAATGAATGAATCTAGTAAATTTGATTCCTTAAAATATCCTAAAATTCAAATTAAATTAAAAGAATGACTTTTTATGAATTTGTATTTTAATATTTTATGTAAGCAAATTTAAGTGTAAAGTTTAACAATAAAATTCTATGACTAAATTTTAATCAGTATGTGTTACAATACATCCATCCATCTGTCCGTCCATACATACATACATAAATATTTTTTAGCTTCATAAAAATTTGAAGAAAGAATTTCCAAGAAAAAATACAGTTTCTTAAAGATAGGAAATAATTTTTTTTACTTAGGAGAAATAAAAAATATATAAAAATAGAACAAAAAATTGATATAGATTGTTTAAATTTGATCCATTATTTATTTAGAGTTTACAAAAGCCTTATTTATTTTGTTTACCTGAATTGTTTAATTAAGAATCCATCGATTATTAACCTCAAATTTTTTAATTTGAAAACTATTAATAAGATTACACTATTAATTTTTTTCGATTTTATATAAAATAATTTGGAATTAAAATAAAAAATGGAAAAATCAATATTTGAGCATGATTTTATCAAAGTTGTATATGTCCAAAAAATGAAAGATTGTTTTCTTTCAATTATATTAAAATATTTTTTTTGGTGTAATATTAAATTGTTAATCTTTCATTAAAATTAAATTGAACTTTCTTTGCTTGTTAGTACTATCAATTATGAATGGTCCTAGTCAAATAATTTTATGAATAAAATTAAACCATGCATGAATTAATTACTTTTATTCAGTTGAAATTAAAAAGATACTCAAGCTAATTTAGTTGGTATCAACTACCTTCTTTATTACCTAAAATATTTAATTATAGGAAGTGTATTTACTTTTTCCATTTTGAAATTTCTAAAATTTTTCAGTGATTGAAATAGTTAAATAAATTGTTTTATTTTATAATAGCTATAAAAATAAAATCATATTGTTTTTACTGGAAAATAAAAGCTTTTTGAAGATTTTTCTTCAGGAATATTTAAAGTCTTAGAAAAAATCTTGAATTAAATTTATAAATTGTAAACCAGTATCAAGTAATGACTTGATGTACAAGTAAATTTATTAAAATTAGTACTACTACAAAGTGTAAATACTAATTTAGAAGGCAGAAAGATATTTTTATTTATTTTCTATCAAAGTTATTTTTTAAGTTTTGCTTTTTCTAGATTCTTTTTCTACAAAAGATATATTTTCTAATACTATTTCATATATTTGAATTAATGTAAAAACTCATAAATTTTATAGCTCAATTATTAAATAATTACAAGATAAAATAAATGGTTAATTTCTGAAATTTTATTGTTTCTTAAAAAATTAAATTCTTTAAATCTTACAAGTTGTAGTTTATAGATATAAGGTATTGAGATTGTTTGATTATTTTCTTTTAATACTTGAATCTAAATTAAGTTTAAGTTGATTTTTATTGAATTATTTATAGGAAAAATTATTTAATATTGATTACATTTATTAATTTAAAATTTGTGAATATTATTTTTCTAATATGTTTGTTTGTTTGTCTCTAAAAAATTAGTACCTCCATTTCCAAAAGAAATTTCGAAAATATTCAATTAAAAATGTTAGTTGTATTTTGAATTTAAAATTCTTAAATGAAAATGATTGAGTTAATCTAAATCACTAATAAAATAAATATCATTGCTTTTAAACTATATTAGCATTATAATATTTGTGAGTGTATGTATGTACATATTCCTGCTTGTAGATAAATCTTATTTTTGAATTTAGATATCTTTAAAATAGCTTAAGAAAAATCACGTAAAAAGTTGATAATCTAAATATTTTTTGAGTGTTTTTCAAAATTATATTTAATAGGTACAATCTTTATAGACTTTTAATTTATTATTTAGATATCTATTGAAATTCATAAATTCTTCTTTGAACTTTATTTCGTTTTAATGGTTTATATCAAACACAAACAAAAATAAAAAGCTTTTTACTTGATAGAATTATAATAAATTTAATTCGGTTTTTTTTTAATATTATCTTTTTTTTATTATAATTGAAGAATAAATAGCTAACATGTAAAGTTTAATGTTGATCTTTAAAAATATGAAATGCAAGTAAGTGGAATAGATTGGTGCATAGATTATTAATAAATCAATAAAATATCCTCAAATAGTTACAATCAATCTTTTTCTTTTAAAATTTGAGGTTTTTAAAAAAGCAAATAATAATTAAATAATAAATAAATTACAAATAAACAAAATAAATAACAAATGAATAAGAAAATTCTTTCATTATTGGTTGCTTTAACCTTATTACAAGTCGCATTAAGTGCTGATTGTGACTTTTGTAAATTTAGTGCTGATGGTACTGATAGTGCTGGTGCTTGTACTGATTGTGATCCAAATACTTGCACTAAGCAAACAAAAGCTGCTGGTGCTAAGGAGGATGTTTGTACTGCTTTACCTTGTCCTTAAGGTACTTACAGTGCTATAGGGTTTGATAATGATGGTAAAGGAGGAAACTGTTCAGCTTGCGATGCTGGTACTAGTACTCCTGCAGCTTAAACTAAGGGAACTGATAAATCAGTTTGTACTTTAAAGGCTTGTGTTCAAGGTACTTTTAGCTCTACAGGTTTCGATAATGATGGTAAAGGAGGAAACTGTTCAGCTTGCGATGCTGGTACTAGTACTCCTGCAGCTTAAACTAAGGGATCTGATAAAACAGTTTGTACTTTAAAGGCTTGCTCTCAAGGTACTTATAGCTCTACAGGTTTCGATAATGATGGTAAAGGAGGAAACTGTGCAGCTTGCGATGTTGGTACTACTACTTCTGCAGCTTAAACTTAGGGATCTGATAAATCAGCTTGTACTTTAAAGGCTTGTGTTCAAGGTACTTTTAGCTCTACAGGTTTCGATAATGATGGTAAAGGAGGAGACTGTACACCTTGTGATGAAGGTACTAGCACCGCTAGCAATTAAACTTAGGGAACTGATAAAGCTACAGTGTGCACTCTCGTTTTGAAGTAATGTGTTGCTGGTACTAGCAGCGCAACAGGTTATGACACTGACGGAAAAGGAAATGGTTGTAATCAATGCGGAGCTAATACTTACTCAGCAGCTGGAGCTAAAAATTGTACTCCTTGCGCTAATAGTCGTGTTGCACCTGTTGGTTCCACTGTAGTAACTGCTTGTGCTTGTCCTGAAGGAACTACTGGTCCTGAAGATGGCACAAGCGTATGTGAAACAAGCACTAATTCTAACTCTAAGCTTATTCAATTTGTCTTAAGCTTCATCTGTTTGGTTCTTCTTTTCTGATATTGATTAAATAAAATATGGCAAAAAAAATTTTTATTATTTGAAATGGATACTATTTATTATACTGTAATATTTATTTTTATAAAAAGTATTCGTTGGAAATAATTAAAAATTTTATCAACAGATTATTAATTTTTCAAAATAAACAAGCACCTCTAAAGTATTTCAAAAATAAGATATTTTGTGCTATTAATTTAAAAACAAATATTTAATGTTTAAAAATAAATCAAAATTATCCTATTGAACATTAAATCAAAATTGAAAAATTAATGTTTGAAAGTAAATTATTCTATATAATAAATAAATATATCACTTATAATCAGACAATTTTGAAACTTTTCTTTAATAAATTTATAATTGTGGTGTGTTTTAAATTTAATAAAAATAAATAATTTTTTTTTACTTTCTCATTTTTATTTTTTTGAATTTATCATATTTTTATGAAGTCGTATATTTTTTTGTTGAAACTTGAAAAAAATATAATTAAACAAATAAATAAATAAGATATTTAAAATCTTGATTAATAGATAAAAATATTTGATTAGTCGTCATTAATTTTTTATAATTTTATAGAGGAGGCTCTAACAAACCTGCACCCACCAAATTTTTATTTGTATCCAATATAAATATCTTAATTTTTAAAAACCTCCAACAAATATCTAAATATCTTTAAATTTTGATATTTTTAAATGAATTTAATAATCAATTAGTAAATAAGGTATCTTATAAACATCAATTAATAACTTAAAAAACCAAAACATTTTGATAAATTGTTAAAAGATTTGGAATATTTTTTTTACATTAATTTTTGAATTAAAAATATTTTTCTTTTACAAAGAATTCATAAACACTTTTGATAATCAATTAATTCATAAACTAAATATAATACAAACAAGACTTAAATAAATTGAAAGAAATGAAATTAATATTGCATAAAATTTAAAATAATTTTTATTTATACTAGAATAGAAAGAAATTAGATGGATATAATTATTTACATGTTAGATTAATTAATTAAATTTCAATTTATTTATTATTATGTTAAATATTTAAACACTTTACTTTTTTTATCCTTAAGATTTTTATTGATCAAAGGATAATTAAAATTATTAATAAGAAATGTAATTAGTTACTTAATTACTATCATTATCATGCTATAATCAGATTTTTCAAATCTATAATTTTAATTTTATCATATTAACATTTGAAAATATATTAATTTTTAAGTATTTATTCATTCATTTTATAAATTATTATTAAAATTTCTATTAACTAACATTTAGAAAATACTTGAATTATTAATTTAAATTTTTTGTATTGAACTTTAAATAGAAATGAAATATCGTTTTGTTGTTAATTAGTATTCAAAGATTATTATTATTAATATTATTTTAAATATTTTATTAATTATTTATGTTAATTATATTATTGTTACTATTTATATTATTATTGTTACTATTTATATTATTATTGTTATTAGTATTACTTTATTAGCTTTAGTTGTAAATACCAGTTTTCTTAGAGCCATCATCAAACATATTCTCTATAAATTAGATAAATCTAGCAGCATACTGCTATGGAGGGATAGTACTTATATCTGGTCCTAATGCGATACGCTTTGCTAAGAATTCTATTTTTTTCTTAGAACTTTTTATTTAAAAGTAAAATTTTAAAATAAAATAAATTTTTTTTTTAATTTAAATAAACTGTTTGGTTAATTAGTTAATTACTTGAAGCATGTAAGAATGTCAATGATACCGAAATGATAAGTTATTTCATGACTCCTGCTTTTCATAAGACAAATGCTTTCTTCCTCTTATTCTATAAAGTTATCTTAAGCACTTAACAAGATATCTGTATCAGCTAAGTTAAATTATTTTAAAAAATCAGTTATTCATATATTTCTTATATTAATTTTTTAATTTTACTTGTTCTTTTTTCTCTTCTTGAATTGTGTAATCCTAAAAGCATACTATAGTCTATTACTTCGTTTTATTCAAAAAAATGGCAGTCCTTTTTCACTACTTCCATAAAAGTGTGGTACTGCTCAGGCCTTACTTAGACTTTCATCTTCTAATTTAAAAAATTTAAATCTTTCTTTGCAACAGATGGATCCCTAATTATTAAATTATAAAAGTTATTTGTTAATTTAAGTTAAATTTAAAAGGCAAATTTATATTAAATATTTTTTTTTTGATAACAACAGACAAAGAAAATATTATTGAAAATCAAAAACAAAAATTATGAAAAGAAATATTGAATGAATTACGGGTTATCTGAGTATCTTTTATAAAGAGATCCTTTTAGATCAAATCTCTCATGAATTTCTTTACGTGTATAGAAAACATTGCTCATAATGATAAAGTATATGTATTTCATTGTGTGACCAATTTTATATTTTATTTTATGTAACCCATATACTCTGATAATAAGCGTATTTGGATTGTCTAATAAATGCTAGTAGTAGTTTGGTAGAATCTTTTTCAGGAACGCAAACTCTGATTTGTGAATTGTCTTTAGAGTAAATTTGCTGTCTACAGTATAATAAAAGAAAGATCCACTTTTACCTGTAGATGTTAATTCACTTAAAGTTGTCAAGTCACCTCTGATTATACTACTAAATAATTTTTCAGGCCCTATGCTTTTCAGGTAGTTTTCACTGCTGATATTGTATTTGAGTCTAATATTTCTAAATACCTAAGGAGCGTAATCTGAAAATTTACAGATTTTAAATGTGGACTACTCTCCCACTCTCCTTCTAGGTAGGAGCTCAAAATAATATTTTAATTTGAAGTCTTCTGACTCTAGCTTGATGATTTCTTCTCCATAACTGCTAACACTCCTAACAGCCATTTACACTCCCATCATCATGTTTAATACCTATTTTCATTAATCAAAATGTTAATTGATATAGAATGAATAAAATTGAGTGTCTGTTTGTTTATTTATTTATTTACCAAGTTCCAGTTCTAATGCCCAAAAAAAACCATAGTTGTGTTTTTTTAAGAAGAAAGATTTCTTTAAGATTTCTTATTTGGCACATTAATAGCTGTAGATATTCTCATCGTTCTAAATTGATCATCTTAATTTACCATATTTATTTGAGGATTTATTTAGTTTGTTGAGCTATTTTATCTTATGAATATGTTAGTTTGGGTTATGTTCTATTAAGGGGAGCTGTTTTTGTTTGAGCTAAATCTTTACACTCGACCTGCGAATGAAGGGATATTTTTATCATTGATAATTGAGTCTTTGTGATTGCCTACTTTATTTAACTCATCGTCATTGTTATTATTTTCTTCTAAGTCTTATCTGATGACCTTTAGGGTATCTTTCATCTCTAAAAATTTAGGATAAAGTCCAAGAATCTTTTCCTTAAGTTAGTCAGTACTCATATCATTGACATTCTTTATGAACTATTTATCTTTAGTTAAATTTAAGAGACCAGTTAAAATAAATAAATAAATAAATATATAAAATTTAATATTACGTCTAGGATCAATAATAGGTTATTAAGGACTCAAACTTGGTAGAGGATGACTTGCTGATTTCTGATAGTGTTCTTTAAAGAATCCAGACTTGTTTAAATAATTTTAATTTGATCCTTAAGATATTTAAGAATTGCTTATTGATAAATTATTGCTGTTATTCATTAAATTATGATTAGATTAATGGATATTTTGTTGATTATTCTAGGTATTTATGTTTTGTTTGACTTGATTTGCCCCGTTATTGCTTTGTTCACTACTTAACTCTTTTACAAAACTTGGTTATATGCTTAAATTTTCTTGTAAAGGTTAAAATTGTTATTCTTTTTTCTGTTATTGCTGCTGCTACTCATTGTAGCTTGGAATGGATTTAAGTGGAGGTACTTTTACTTTATTTGATATAGAAGAGGAGTTGTTAGTTGCAGAGTTAGAGATCAAATTATTATTAAAAATATTGTTAGCATTAAAAGTAGTATTTGCAGTAGAATGTGGATCTAAAGGTGAATTTATTTGTGATGAGATTTAGTGAGGATGATGAAGGAAAAAATTATTGTTTATATTTATATTTACATTACTGTTATGAAAATCTTTTAGCAAATTCTATTCATTAGAAGAAATTATGATATCATTTTAGCTCAGTAATTTCCCATTTTAAATGTTAATAAAATTTGAATTTTAATAAGGCATCTTTTAATTGCTGCCTTTGTTGCTTGAATTGTTATTTTTTTAGCTAGATTAACTAAAATTGCTTTAATCTGAGCTCTAACCTTAAGTAGCACTTTAAAATGAAATTATAGGTACTTATTCGGCATTTTATGATATATATTATAATGCTCCTTCAATATACTGCTAGCTATGATCAATAATTTATCCTTTAGAGTTTAGGGATTATTGAAAAATGCTTTTATTGCCTTATGGAATATTTGTTTAAATAGGATAAACTCCACCAAAGAGTAAAATATTCTTTTAAGAACTTTATTAATTTAACATATTTTAATCAGATAAAGCTGGAGTCTTTCCATTTTAATTATAAGTACTTGATGTATTTTTGTATTACTAATTTTTGTTGTTATCCTTTAAAATTTGACCTATTCCTTATTGATCTTTTATATCATTTTAAATGATTGCTTATGGTGATACCAATTATTATGTAGAATAATTTGGTGAATTTTTTGACAAAAAACTATTTTTATATCTGCTATTTACATATTTTTTATTCTAGTTAATGTAGCCATCATCCATTTAATCGTTTCCTTCATTAATTCCCTCCATATTTTCACCACGAATTTCATCATCTGTAAAATCTGAAATATCACAATTATCTTGAACATCACCTGAGTTATTCTGGTATTTAGATACTGGCTTTACAAATGTTACTTTTAAGCATTCTGCTCCATAGCGTCTAGATGTAGGTGGTTTATTAGCATCGTTTATAGTACTGGCTTCATTTTATCGTTCATCTTCTTCCTTCACAGTACTGTTTGGCAATTCTGGCTAAGATTTAAACCTAAAAGTCAAATTTGAATTATTCATAAAGGTAATTTTTTTAGAATCATTAACTTCATGATTGTTTTTTTGACTATTCATATTCATGCCTATAGTTTCAACTATTTATTTATATTAGAAATAAATGAGTATAAAAAATAGAGTAATTCATTATAAAACAGCTGTAGAAATGTACAGAAATGTACAGAAGTGATACAAAAAAATTAATTTTTAAATCAACTAAAAATATTTTTGATTGCTAAATAAATTAATTATATTTCTCATTTTCATATTTAAAAATAAAAATGTTCAAAATATTTCACAAAAGATTGATTAAATTTTACTTATTTAACAATAAACCAATAAATTTAAAATAGAAAACTAACTATTTTAAAAATTAATTGTCATTTTTAATGATTGATTAATTTATGTGAACTTTTTCATTAGATAAATTAAATGGTTTCTTTTATAACATTTTGAGTTTAAAAGAATGGTTTGTAATTAGTTTTAATGTTTCAATTATAGTTTTAAATAATGTTTTACTACTTAAAAACAATAAATAAAAGAAAAATATTTTTACTTATTTAAGTTTTACTTGATTGACTTTTATCTTTGCGTTTAATTTGTTCTTCAATAACAATATTAGGTTAGGTAAGTAGAGGAAATAATTTTGTTGGTTCTATATCATTGTCAGAAGGTAGTTTATTTATGTTTCTAATTGAACTTCTTTTAAAACTGATAGTTTTTTATTAATGAGGAAATGCATTTTGAGGTACTGAGTCTTCCTTTTCTCCTGCTAAGCTGCCTATAACTTAATCTATTTAGTTTTCGACCTGCAAAACCATCTTTGAAATTTATATTTCTTTACTTTTATCATCCTTAATTGTTTCCTATATACCTTTGTTAAGAAACTCAAATATCTCTAGAATATTTGGATTCTTTCTTATAGCCTGTAAGTATTCAGTAAAAGTGACTCTTCCGTTTTTTTATGTGCTCATTTGATCAAATATACTGATGATATATTGGTCAGTTCTACGCTACTATTCTTCATCTATTTGAATATTTCATTATTAATTATAAATAAATCTACTACATCATTTTATTTTTTCACTTAAAAATGATATAATCTAATTAGATCTCATTCAAAAATGTTTTATAAAACAAATACTTTGCTGAATATGGTGTATTTTTATTTATAATTAGTGTATGTTTTTATATTTCATACATATATATTATTTTATTTTGATAATATTTATTGAGTTAACTATTTTGTATCTAAAGTTCTACTTTAAAAATAATTATTTAGTTTACCATTTTTCACAATAAAAACTAAGTTATTTTATATTGATTGAGTATGCTTGAAAATGTTATTTTTTAAAAATAGAAAAATCAATATTTTTGGAATAGAAAATCTCTAAAATCTTTGAACTGTTTTCAAGTGAAATTTACGAAAGAATAATTAAATTTAAATTTTCATACTAAAATGAGCTCCAGTAACTGCACAATAACTATTAATGATACCTCCGATCATTTTTTTTAAATCATTTAAATCGAAAGACCCTTAATTCGTTGTGTCTATGTAGTTGAATGCAATTTAGGCTTTTTGTTCTTAATTTCCATGTGTTATAATATCAAAGTAATTGATAAAATCTTAGAAGTTGATCTTTTTATCAATAAAAATGATTAAATTTTTAAGCTTAAAATACAATTTATATTTTTATTTGCCAAAAATAAATTTCTCTTCGTTTTCATCCAGCTTATTCAACAATTCTTCTTTAACAAAATAAAAATACTCTAATATCAAATAGCTTTGTTAATCGATTTGGTAGTAAGTTCCTTACTTAGCTTTAATAAAAACTTTATATTGCTAAAAAAACATTTAAATTGAAAGACTGACTGTCTCAATTTAATTTTTCACTAAAAAACTAGCAGGAGATATTAAATAAATAATCATGAGATATGATAAAAATAATTTTTTAATTGGCTATTTAAAGAAGAAATGGTGATAAATTAAAGGAATTATATATCATTTGAAAAGATTTAAATTTGGTAAAGAATGAGGAGCTTAACATTTTATTATGTTATGAAGAGATGAGAGGGCAATATAAATTTGATAAAAATAATCGCTAAGTTACTTATCCATCTCCATCACTATCAAGCATTGTAAATATTCTATCACTCAAAAAAAATACAGTGTCTAAACCAAGTACACCCATATGTTCCCTAAACTATTCTTTCCTTAGCTTGCCTGTATTTTTTGACATGCGGTAGAACCTAATTTTAAGTTAAAACATATTTTTAGTAAATACAAGAGCACTTGATAAATTAATAAATTCTCTCTAATTTTGTATAACTCTAAATACAATCAAAAATCACATAAAATACATACACTCATTCATTCCTTCATTCATAAATATACACACTAATTCCTATGAAAAATTTTCAAAGCTCTTTTTTAATTTTATCAAAAAAATGGCTTTATTCTTTTCAATCAAAATGGCTCTGCTAAAGAAATAGGCGGGAGGAGTTTTATATATTTGATTACTTATTTAAAATAATTTTTTAATTTACCTCTATCGCAGTTCGGTAACTTCTTAAAGAGAGAATGTTGTTTTACTGATAGCTTTTCTGATTTCATCTTCTTCAGCAACACGTCTTGTTTTGCTAGTACAACAAAATATCATACGACTTGATAGGTTTATTGCTACCTTAGTTACAGATATGAAATCTTGTAAGGCAATTAAAACCTTTTTAACTACTTTAAACTATTTAACTGCTTAATTTTATATGCTGAGTTTGTCAAAGTGCTACTATATTTTTACAAATAATCAAAACTAATTACCAAACAAGTTTTTTTTACTTTTAATTAAATATATGCTATAATCAAGCACAAAATTCTTAACTAATTAATTAATTAGTTAATTTTAAGGTGAATAATTAAAATATAAAAAGCAAGCTTAGATAGAAAGAAACAATACACACACTGAGATAGATATATAGATTGAATATTAACTTACTAACTATAATACAAACAGAAGAGGGGTAAACAAATAAAGTAGTAGATTGGTATAACGAAACAAACAAACAAAGAATCAATCAATCAAATAAAGAAATAAAGAAAGAAGAAAATAAATAAATAAATTAATTAATTGATAAATAACATTTAAAGAAAAAGAAAGATTCAGTGATTTATAATTATATTATTATTCTTATTATCATTAAATAATCTAAGAATTTACTTCTATCTAAAAAAAAAATTTACTCATTTTAATCCTTATTTTTATTTAATTTTAAATACAATAAATACCAGTGTCATATTTAAGTTACTAATTAACATACCTGTTAATTGTATTGATCAGTATTATTAGTATGCTACTCTTAATTTAAAATTATTAGTAATAAAATTATATAAAATTTGCTTCGACTTCCTTCCTCTTTTTAGCTCTCTTGCTGTTCACATTTAAAAATAAATTTGCTGATGATATTTTTATTTTTTTTTTTGAGAATTAATTAGCTCTATTGAATTTCTATTTCGTTTTAAATTAAATTCAATTACAAATCACGCAAATATTTAAGGGTATAAAAATTACATAATTTTATTCCGCCTTAAATATTTTAAGTCAATTAAACGTGAAGCTAATAAAAAAAAAACCTTATTTTATCTTTTTTATTTTTTCTATTCTCTTGAATTTTTATTTATTTATTTATTTATTTATAGGTCTAGAAAGTAAAGAACTTTTTTGATCTAAATACTTTATTAGCCATTAAAAATAAATAAAAATATACTTGAATGATTAATAACCCATAAAAAAAATTATTAAAAAATTTATTTAAATTAAATGGTAAATCTAACAATCTTACTTATTTAACTTACTACTGATTCTCCACTAAATATTTATAGCCGCGTCTTCTAAATTAGTTATAAAAACAAAAATTAAACCTATATATTTAGTATCTTCTAGTATCAACTTTGTTTTGTATTTCGAATAAACATTTGGAATAAAAATATCTTTTCATTGAGCCTCTATTTCTTCTCAATAGTTTTCTTTTATATTTCTAAAATAAAAAAAATAAGTAAATAAATAAAATAATCTATATAGCAGATCTTTACTGAATTATTTATTTACTTCGCTCAATCTTTATTCCTTTTAAATAAGTCAACTTTAAATTGTTTAATTTAATACTATACTAGCCATAATACAATACAATACAAAATAATAATAATATTTTTATGTTTTTAAGAATATATTTTAAATTTGCTTATTATTTTTAAGGTAGAAATTAAATTATTTAGGACATTAATTTTTAAAAAGAAATATTAATCCTTAATTAATTTTTACATGAATTTTATAAGGATATGTAAAGTTATCTAATTTTAGTTTTCCTAATTAAATGTATTTTTAATTTTTCATAATAATATGAATTATAATAATTTATTATACATTTTCACTGAACGATTCTATTTAAATAACTCAATAAAAGAAATTCAAATAAAAATAATATATTTTCTCATTATACCACTAATAAAAAACATATCATTTTTATTTTAATATAAATATTTATTTATTTAAGTTTGTGCAAAAGAAATCAATCATATTCAAATAAATATTTGCATATCACGTATTTTTATATTAATCTCTTATTTTAAAATGTTTTTACTGCTTTCTGAAAATTTGGTAATATTTATTTTTTTGTAAAAATTATTTTTTATTCATTTTTTTTAATTTTGAGCAAATACAATGTATATTAATAAAATTATATGTTTAGAAATAATTTAGATTTACCTAATAAAATATTAATAATAAATTTTAGATTTATTTTAATAATAAAAATATTCAAGAATTTATTTTGCCATTTGTTTTAATTTTGTAGAAGACTTAAAGAAATTTCAAAGAAAAAGTAATTCAGATTTTTCTAAAATTGTTTCTTAGAAAATAAGCAATTTTGAAAAATCAATCTTTGTCTTGAAAAATAAATAGCTAAACTCAATATAATGAGTGAATTAGTGAAGCAAATTTAATAGAATGATCTTAAAATTATAAATAAAATATAAATTAAGTTAAATATAATAAGATAGGCGCATTAGATTTGCAAATACTTTTCTAAAATGGGTGAATAGCTAGCAAATAATCAAACAAGGAAACAAACAAACAAAAAAACAAACAAATGATTGAAATAAAAGCGGAATTTAATTCATTTTTTTGTGACTTAAAGAAAAAGAAAGAAATAAATAATTGTAATATTTATATCTGCTAATTGTAAAAAAAACGCAATAATAATTTAATTAATTATAATAATTATAGTAAGTTAATAAATAAATAAAAGAAAGAAAGATCAAAGAAGAAAATCATATTTAAAAAATAGAATAAATACACTAAATTAATTAATTAAATGGATACAGAAGACTTCTAACAAGCTGAAGAATTTAAATAAAAGGGTAACGACTGCTTTAAGCATAGTAAATATTAGGAGGCCTCAGATTTCTATACTAAGGCTATAGACTGTCATAGCACCTCACCAAAAGCAGCTCCATATTACTCTAATAGAGCATTCTGCCAATTAAAGTTAGAAAATTATGGTCTCGCTTTGGAGGATTCTAAAACCTCTATTAAATTAGATCCTAATTTTGTCAAGGGTTATTATAGAGAAGGTTCTGCCTATTTAGCTCTTGGAAAACTTGAAGATGCTAGAAATTCCTTCAAAGCCGTACTTTTTTTTAACATTATCAGCAAATAAAATTTTATAATTTTTAAATCACATCTTTACCGCAATAAAATAAATAAATCTATTTTACTTCTAAAAGAGGTTTTTCCTCATATTCAAAAATTACTTTTAAAAACCATTTAATTTTGAAACATTTGCTTGATTTACCTTCTAAATTTGTAAACTTTATAAATAGGCTCATAAGTTACAGCCCAAGGATACTGATATTAATGAAAAACTTAAGAAATTAAAGTAGATGATTTATGAGAAAGAATTCCTTAAGTCAATCGAAATTTAACACACCCCTTTAGTTATTCATCCTGAAGATATTATTGTTGAGCCTAGTTACAATGGTCCAAAACTTGAAGAGGATAACCAAGAAATTACTGCAGAATGGTACCTTATTTTATTTTTAAAAAGCTATGAATACTATCAACTATTTGTTTGCTTTTTGTTGCTCGCTCATCAATAAAACAAGAAAAAATAATTTGGAGCGGCTTGAAAATTTAAGCAAAGATTAAATCTTATTTCTTGAAAAAAATTAGGGTCTTAAATTTAATGAATTGGATGAAGGATTAAAAGAAATTGCATAAAAAATATGTCTGGATCCTCATAAAGAGATGCAATAACATTCTTAAATAATATAAAGCCCTCATTGACTTGGACTACGGACAGTAATTAGAATTAAAATTAGTTTTTATTTGATTTGGTTTGGTTTTAGCGATTATAAAGCATCAAGAGCAAAGAAAAACTCAGGAAGCAAAGAATATATTTGATAGAAAAAAGAATAATTAATATTTCGATTATTAAGACTTTTAGCTTGAATAAAAAATCTTTTCTTCTTCCTTTCTGCAATTTTTCTTACAGCCTCTCAAAAATTTCACCAAATAGAATAAAAGAATTTTTAGAGAAAATTAAAAAAAATTTAAATTTTTAAATTTTGTTCTGCTTTCTTTCAAAATTGTACACTAATTAATTATCTGCCAGAATCAAAGCGATTTTAATTAATCTAGATTTATTCTAAGAATTTTCATATAGATTTTCTTATTAATTTTTATAATTTATCCTATAAAAAGAGATGAAAAACTCACTGTTTGTGGTGATATCCATGGTCAATACTACGACTTATTAAACATATTCTCTCTTAACGGAAACCCTAGTCCTTCCAATCCTTACCTCTTCAATGGAGATTTCGTTGACAGAGGTTCATTCTCTGTTGAATGTATCCTCACTCTTATTGCTTGGAAGGTTCATAATCCTAACGTTATTCATTTCACTAGAGGTAACCACGAATCTAAAAACATGAACAAGGTAAATAATTAATAACTAACTAGTTTCAAACTTTGCACAATCTAGTTATAAAAATAAATTTATTAATGAAAAATCATCTTTCTGTGATGAAAATAATATTTGATTTTGGTAATTTAATATATGTTATTTAATTTTAATAATAGATGTATGGATTTGAAGGAGAAGTTATTCATAAATATGATAGCAAGACTATGGAATTCTTCTCAGACTTCTTCTAAAATCTTCCTTTGTGCTATGTTTTGAACAAAAAGGTTATGGTTAATCATGGTGGTCTTTTCAGTAATGACGGTGTCACCCTTGAAGATATTCGTGCTATTGATAGATACTAAGAACCTCCTGATACTGGCCTTATGACTGGTAACATTTAAAATTAATATATAATATAAAACGAATATATCAAATTAACATTCACTTTTTACTCAATCTTAAATTATTTAATTAACAGATTTATTATGGAGTGATCCCGTCAAGCAAAACGGTAGACATCCTTCTAAGAGAGGTATCTCTATTGGTTTTGGCCCAGATGTTGCATAAAAATTCCTTGCTGATAATAAATTAGGTAAAAAAAGCTTATTTATTATAAATTATTATTTTTATTAACTTACTTTTTTTTAGAATTATTGGTTCGTAGTCATGAAATGAAAGAAAATGGTTATGAAATCGAAGCCGATGGTAAGGTTATCACAGTTTTCTCAGCTCCTAACTATTGCGATTAAATGGGTAACAAGGGTGCTTATATAATCTTCAAAGGAAGCGACATGAAGCCAGACATTAAAACTTTTTCAGCTGTGGTAATAAATTTATAATTAATATTTTATAAGTAAATAAATAAATAAATAACAATTATAATAATAATTAGGAACATCCTAAAGTTCCTCCTATGGCCTACTCAAGAAATTTCTTAAACTTGTTTTGATAAAAACAGCCTTAATCTATTTATAAATAAATTAATTACATGGATAATAAATTAATTAACGTGTTACCTTTATAATATTTGTAAAATATATTCTAATTATTTGTAACTATCTCTCTATAAAAGGATTCACTTTATTTAGCATTTTTCTGGATTTTTATCAAAATAAAATAAAAAAAATACTCAACTATTATTATATTTTTCTTATTGGTTTTTAACAAGTTAAATTTTATTTTCTAAAAAAAATAAATGATAAAAAATGATTTTTAAAAAAATCAGCAATGTAAATATAAATAAATATTTTATTTAACACAAAATATTTAAAAATTTACTATTTTTAGAAGTTAACAAACAATTGTTTGGAAATTTATTTAAAAATTTGTTATTAAAGCATTCTAAATTTACAGAAAATTAATTTTATATTTGTTTCAATATAATATAAATATATACTCTCATTTTAATATGTAAATATCCTACTTCCACCTTCTTATAGTTAGTTAGTTATTTAGTTATTAATAAAAAGAATTAAATAAATGATATAAATTTGATAATTTACTTTTTTGGTAAACAGAAGCCATTTTAAGTAAATCTAATAATAATTTTACTTAACTTATATTACATCAAAACTAAAACATTTATTTAAAATTCTTCAATATCTTTGAAATTATCAAGAATCATAATCATTCTTGCTAGTAAAATAAACAAGAAAATTTTTTATTACAAATAGTATATTATCTAACTTTATATGTATATATTTTATTTATTTATTTATATATTAAATGCTTTAAAGTTAAAGTAATTGTAAAAATATGTAGTGAAAATTATGGATTAAAAAATAAAATAAAATAAAACAAAAAAATATTAAGAAAAAAGATATGAATGGATTTTGACTTTAAAGTTAATGTATAAAAAAGAATAGTATAAATTCATGGTATGTAAAAAAAATTTACTTTTTTAATTAATATCGTAAAGCAGATTAACTAAAAAATGTAGAGTGAGTCTTAAGATTACTTAACAATCTAATTATTTGATTATCAAATCAATTTTTATTATAAATCTAAAAAAAGTATATGGTAATATTATTGAAATGAAATTTGTTTTTGATCAATTAATATTAAATATTAGTAAAATCGCTTTGTGGTTATCGAACTATACTTAAAAAGTAAAAATTATTATTAAATTCACAAATTAAGTTTAATAGAGATTTTATTGATTTGTAATTAATTGATTTGAAACATGTAATATACTAGAAGGAGATAATTAATTATTTATATCAAACAGATAGTAAACAACAATAAACTAGAACTATCCAAAATAGATTTAATTGTTTGTTTTGTCTGTCTAAATTTATAAGATAAATAATTTACTTTATTCTAATGTGGTTTTGAGTCCAAAAAATCATATTATAAATTAATCTTAAAAAATAATAAGTTTAAATACATTAAATAGTATTTAATTTATATACTAAATAAATAAATAACAATTTTTTAGTTTACATTATTTATAATGATCGAATTTTATTACATTTAAGAGTTTTTTTGGAGGGCAACTTCAAGCTTTATTACTACATCATTTTTTATTAACTAGTACTAACATTTTAAAAATAAGCTCGTCATGATTAAGCAAATAAAATCTATTTGCATAGACATATTTCAAAATCAGTTAAAAAATTTTCATCCACATATCTGATTACATTATTAAGTTTGAATATTTATAATACCATTTTTGTGATTTATTTATTAATAATATTAAAACTTTTCAAACAAGTTTAGTGATTTTACTAAATAAATCATAAGAAATAAAATATGAATTGAATATATATTTAAAAAAATTAAGCAAATTCTATTTTATTTAACACAATCAAGGAAAATCTATTTTATTTAATAAATTATCAAATGAATTCTAAATAATATATTTATGATTGATTGATTGATATTTCATCTAAAATTTAGTTTAATATCATAAATTTATATTGAAAAGACTATTACTTTTTTAGTTTATTTGGAGGGGGGTTTAGATATTTATTTTTTACAATAAACTCTATTTTTATTTACTTTTTTTTGTATTTTCAATTTTATTAAAGAAAATTATTATTAATAATATAGTTTTTTCAGCTTGTTTAAAGCAGCTGAATTTTTTGATGCTCTAATTTTAAAAGGGTTTAATACATTTTTTATTTCTAGCTATAATTTTTTAAGGTATTATTTAATATGTATCTATTTATTGTTTTAATTAAATAACCAATCAAATCGATATGATTAACTTAGATTTAAATAATGCTCATCACTTAATCGATTCTTACAAAATCTGACTAATAACGATATTTCTAAAAGTTAAGTCATTTCTTTTATTGCTTATTAAATACTGTTCAAAAACAGTCTTTAAACTTTATAAAAAATATAAAAATAACAACTAAATATTTAAAAAGAATCTAAAGCCAACCTTTAAATAATAAGACTATGACTAAATCAACTGAAAACCCTGACACTTGTTGCTAATAATAAGAATTATAGGCTTTACCTACACTAAGTACTCAGAAAACTTCAACTCTTGCTTTACAACAAACTACTTTAAATGATCAAGAAGAAAAAAACTCTCAAACTTAGTAAAGCAATATCACCTTATTTAGACCATGGTGGGCTTATCTCTTCGTGGCTGGATACATTTTCTTAGGAGGAATTGACACAGCTGTCTATAAATACTAAAATTCAACTGTAGTTGATGGATAAAAGTTTACTCATGCCTTCATTCAAGTAATTTATCAATCTTAAGTATCTTTTAGTTATTTAAATAAATACCTTAAATTAAATAGAATTACATTATGTTTCTTGGAATGTCTTTGAATTTAGTCATGTATTTTTACAACAAATACACTGGAAAAATTAACTTAGAAATTGACCCTAGTAAAAAGAATATGGATACCTTAAAATCAACCATGATATTAAATATCCCTGCATTTTTGGACATGATAGGTTCTTTGTTGCAGCTATTTGCCTTGAATTTCATAGACAACAGCATTTATATGATGATCAGAGGAGGATCTATTATCTTTGCTTGCGTGTTCACTAAGCTGTTTTTTAAGAGAAAGTTACTAAATTACAGATACTTTGGTATATTCTTTGTATTTGTTGGCTTGTTTATTGTAGGTCTTTCATCTTTCTTGAACACTAAAGGTAAGAGCCAATCTGACATTTAAATGTAAATCATTTCTATGGTCTTACTCCTTCTTGGTATTATTTCTGATGGTGCCTAATATACTACTGAAGAATATGTCTATAGTAAATTTAATGTTCACCCATAATTTATGCTTGGTCTTTAGGCGTAATTTTATTTATAGTTTTAAATTTATTTATTTATTTGATTGATTTCCAAATTTATTATCTTATTTGAAGTTAAAAAAATCCATAAAATTTATTTGAATTTATTTATGAATTTCAATTATGATTAATCATTTTATTTAAAGAATACTTTTATTCTCTTAATTGTTTTAAATTTTGTATCATTCATTTTTATATAATTAAAAAATAAATATTGTTAATTAAATAGATTTTATGGTTCACTTTAATAAATGGTTTTGGTCGCTATTGCATGCCATGTATAATGTCCCTTCCCTAATAATGAAGGATGCTCAAAAATTTACGGAGTTTATTGGTTAGAAAGTATTACCATGTACTTTAGAGAAATAGGTAAAGATGATGCTCTTTTGGCTATGTGTATTATTGGTATATTTACTAAGTAAATATATAATCTTTGCGGAACTTCAATTACCTATTACTTCTCAAGTGTTACAAGAACTGTTTCTGGAGCATTAAGAACTCTTGTAGTTTGGGTTATTTCCCTAATAGTTACTGCTACCAGTTCAAGAAAATGGGAAACTCTTGATCCTATTTCAAATGTAGTTAAAACTATTGGTTTCCTTGTATTAGTTTTTGGTAATCTAAGTTATAATGGAATTATCAAAATACCTGGATTCCCAAGAGAATAAGACTTACCAAAACCAGCTGCATTAACAACGTAATTAAATTCAATCTAAAGTATTTGACTCATAAAAATAATTTATTGCATTTAAAATAGTGTAAAGACAGAAGAGGCATAAATTTTGAAAATCTCTCCCTTAAAAATTTAATCTTAAGAATCTTAATGAAGTTATTTATTAAATTTCTAAACTAAATAATTATAATTATACTAATTAGTAATTGATTACAAACATACCACTAATAATAATAACAACTCAAAATACTTTTCTTAACTATCTAAATAATATTCTCTTTATAAATTTATATAAATATATATGTATTTATATGTGCGTAAGTTTAATTATCTTTAATCACCTTTTTCTCATTACCATTTTTTTATTTTTATCAAAAACATAAAATATGTATTAGCTCTTTTTTTAACTTATCCCCTTAATACTTATTTTATTTAAAATTCTATATTTCTTAGAATTAATACATATTTCTTTAACCCATTCTTCAAAATAAAAATAGATAATAGATAAAATATTAATAATTCTTAAAAAATTTATACTTTATATTTGTCACTCATATTTAAATGCTCATAAAACATTATATTTTTTAACAAATTTTTCAGCTTCTAAAAAATATTCATATTATGACATGTCATATAATTCCATTTATCTTAAAGTTTAACTTTACTCACTTTACAATTTACTTAAATCCCTATATACTGAAATAGAATCAATAATCTCTTGCTCAATTTAATATTTTATTATATTAATTATTGCTATAATATCATCTTTAAAATATTTTAATATTACAAATTCTTCAACAAGCATATCGCAATCAAACCCATCCGTTGTCTTTAACTTAAGTTAAGATGTTGAAACTTTAAATTCGTCTTCAAAATTTTTATTTTTATTGTTTATTTTTTTAAGAGATTTGATAATTGAATCAATTTAAAATTTGCTAAACTACCTTCTCTATTCAAGCTCTACATGCTCTCTCCAACCATTTCTTTTGAGCAGTGTTTTATAATTTTCAATTGGACCATGTATAATTTCAATCACACTTTCCGAAAGAGTGTACTATGCCAAAGACTTTTTGTCCAAACCTTCAACGCAACTGAAAACTGCATAATTATAATATTGTTCTTCTTTTACCACACTTTCAATAATGAATGGTAACTCATTGTTTATAAAGTTTTAAAATTCTAAGTATTTAAGTTGTTTTGTAATATTATCATCTTAATTCTTTTGTTATTAATATAATTGTAATTATTTTTAAAGACTTTCTAGCTATAAAGAATACTCATAAAATTCTATATCTTGCATAGATTGCATCATGTTTATGATGAATTAATAATCTAACTAAATGAATGTAGGAGTACAATCAAAGTTTAAGTGAAGTAAGTTTTTTTATAAATTATGGTTAACAAAAATAAGAGGCTTTATTGAATTCCAAATTTAAGCAGTTTATGATTCATATAAATAATCATTATTTCTTGCTATTTCTATTAAAATATCACCATTTATAAAAAAACACAAATAATCTTTTAGCGGATGTTCAATCGAGAACAACATTTATTTATCTACTACCTAAACTTGTTTAGTATTTTTTTATGTCACATTTAATTATTCTTTCAACTCTTACTTCTTAATCTTCTTTTTGATTTTTACTTTCTTTTAACAAAATTAAGTAGAATCTGATGATATCATTTGATTTAAACTAATTATTTAATTATTATTAATTACTAATTTGCATGATAGATATACAGTATTAATTAATTAGTAAATTCCTTATTGAAAATTATTTACTAATTTCTCTATACCAAAGAAACTTTATTTATCTATCAATCTATATGTGAATTCAAGAATCTTTTGAATATTTTTTTTCAATCTAATTCATCAAATCTGATAAAAGCTTAAAAGTTACATTTAGTTCATAAAAAATAAAACTCGATTCAGTAAAATATCTTATCTTTCTTTCTTTCTTTCTTTTAATGACTAAATTAAAAAACTTTAACAATTATCAATGAATTTTCAAAAATAATTAACAAAATATCCAAATATTAATAAATTTAATCTATCATCAATGTATCTTAAAATTAATAATATTTTTTTATAATAATAATTCAGAAAATATAAAAATTTCAAAAATAAATATAAAATATCCAGTATATTTTTTAATTTATTTTATTAAGGTTACTATTGAATTATAATATTTAGATTTAATTTATAAAGTAATATATTTTAAACAAAAATAAATCAAATATAAATAAATAATGCAGATATATATTCAATGTTATCTATTATTTTGTTTTATTTGATAATTACCTATTATAAATTTCATATTTACTTTTTAATTTTGTCTATCCTAACTAAATTCTTAGAAATTTTTCTCACTAATTGTACGTACAGTTATTGTTTTTGAATTTAGGATAATCATTAACAAAAGATTACATTATTTATTTCATATTATTTATTACTAAAATTGAAATACCTTACTAATAATTTGGATTTATCTTTGAAAATATAAATGCACAGCAAGTTCTTTTAACTAATGAATTAACAAGCTAAAGTATAAAAAATTGTATTACTATTATTATAATTATTATTACTAGTTTTGATATTATTATTCAATTAAAAAACTATTATTCATTTTAACATTTTTTATTTTATTTGCTTAAAATAAATAGAGACTGACTGCAGTTTCAGTAGTTGCTTTAAACAGTGCCTCCTGACAAAAATGCATTATAATTAGGTTATTCTGGAAAAAATCTCTATACAAGTTTCATAAGGAAAGCATAAATGTACATGAATATCCAGACAACGTAAACATAAGCGCAAACCATCAAGAATAACTGTAATTCTTTGCATTCTGTGGGCTTAGACCAGAAATGTTTGGATATTCCATAGATCATAGATGTGAAGTGAAAGATTACTAGAGAGCCATAGAAAATATACATTTATATTGTTACACAAACTGCACCACATCTATTCAAGAAAGTGTATATTGATGGAACTTTGCTTAGAAAGTATCCAATTAAAAGAATCAAACAAATTGCTAAATTGCCGTAAAGTACCCAATTAAGAAACATTTCTTTGGAATCATCTACACAAGTATCGTTTTCATATACTTTTTTAGTACAATAAGCAAAGACAAAGAAAATAAAATTCTACATCTTCACTATTTTGTTAACATCTAATTTGCTATGATCGTGATCATCACCTAACATTTTTATCTTCCTAAACTAATTTATTAAATGTTTTTATAATCCACTAACTTTTTTGAGTACTTTTGTTTAATATCTTATTGCTTTGCAAAGACTTTTTTATATTATTCAGCTGTTTGTTTATCTAAAACTGAAGTTTCTTTTCTATGAGGTTTAGAAAACTTATACTTGCTTGACTATTTTATATGTTTATTCCTCTTCTATTTTAATAAATATATATTTTTTATAAATTTATTTCTGAATTTTTTATCGTTTCACTCAATTATTTCTTAATAAAATAAATAAATAGCAATCAATCGCTTATGAAATTTTAATAATATAATTAGTGAGTGAGTGAGTGACTTAACCTTTCCTTTTTAATAAAAATTTAATTGTTTTTTAATATCTGTTTGAAGAAGATTCCTTAACTAGTCAATTTGCTAAAATAAAAAATAATCTACTTTTCATTTTCTATTTTAAATATTTTAAATAGATATTACTCGTTATCTTGTAATAGAAAATGATCAAACCTTAAAATGAAAAACCTCCCTTCATCAAGAATAATTTCCCTTTTTTGGCTAAAGAAAATAAATAAATAAAAGTAAAATATTGAAATTTTATTTTACTGAAGTAAATTTTATTCAAATTTAATGACCCTAATTTTTTAAATTAATTATATTATGAAACAATTTTTTATATTTTAACAATTTTAAATTTAAAAATAAAATAAAATAAATTTTCTTCAGATTGTGTAAAATGAATACATTTTATTTATTAAATTTAATTTAATTTATAAATAATCATAATCAATGATTAAAAAAAATGTTAATTTTTACAAACTTATCATTTTTAAAAATATAATTTTAAATCTATTATTTTTCATTAATATTATTTTAGAGTTCAATTGTTAATTTCTTTAAATTTAAATATAATTAATATTATTAAATTTTAAACTCTTTAATTATTTTATCTATCTTTTTCGAAAGCAATAAATACTAATAATAACAATAAAAAAATGTCTACTTTATAGACAGCTGATAATTAGAATATTTGAACCACATCAAGTGGTATAAAAATATTACAATAATAGAATAAAATTTTATGTAAGATATCTCTTCTTTTAGATTTTTTTTGTTTTGAAAAAATAGAATAAAATCTTATATTGTTTTTTTTATTTATTGACTAAACTAAATTATAAAAAATTGAAGAATGATTTTCTAAACTTACTTTGAGATAAAAGCCCTTAAAATATTTATTTTTAAAACTTAATCTAATTTAAAGAATCAAAAAATTCTTTGAAAATCCATCAAAATTTTATCAGAAATTAAATTGGATTTCATTCCTTTATTAAAACAATACAATTTGTTTTTAAAATTTGATTAAAGAAAATTCTGTTTTTTTCTATTTAACTATCTATTATTCTTAATCGTGATATATAGAGTCTAAAAGAATTGAAATTGACTTAAATTTCAAAATAAGTATTACTAAAATATAAAGATATTTGGAATTTTGCATTTAATTTTTTTATTAAAAGCAATGCATGATATATAAAGTATAAAAAATTAAAATATTATTTAGATTTATTATTATTTTATTTGCCTTTCACTAAGGATTGAAACCTTTTGATCTTAAACATTCTTTATGAGCTTCGATAAAATCTTTACAGTTTTCTTCGCCATTATTAAAAACGCAAGCATCTCTAAGCTTCTTAGTTTCAGGGCAAGCACAACAAGGCTTTAACTTCTTTTCTGCAGTGCCAGCTTAAGTATTAACAGGAGCTTGGGTGTTCATTTGCAATAATTACTAAAGTTTTTGTAAATTAAAATTTTTTTGGAATGATAATAAATATCTGAATTGTTTTTATTAATTAAATTATTAATAAAAATGTATGCTTATGAAATTAATATAATATCTTCAATATTAAATATAATAGAATCACTAAATACTTATTAGATAATAATTTACTTGACAAATATTTTCTCAAAATATTCTTTTGATCTAGAAACCTTCTTTTTAATTTTTTGTATATCTAATCAAAATATAGTAATAACTGCTTATTCATCATAATTCAATTCTTACTCATCTTTATATATTTACTTTTTTTCTAGATTTATTTTTAATTCAGTGAATACAAATTATTATGTAGCCAGCCAATTCCAAAAAGATCGAAATAGGTTTTCAAAAATTATCACAAATTTATGAAAATAATTATGTGATTTTATTATATGTAATACGTTTCATTTTTAATATTTTATTCTCTATTTAAAATTATATTTAATACAAAAATAAACAATTTATTTGTTTAAAAAATTAATAAAATCAAAATATTAAAAAAATTTAATTAATTTTATAATATTTATACTCTTTTGGAAAAATATTTAAAACTTAAAAAGATCCAAGTTTAATTCAGTCAAATTCACTGTTTAAAAGCTCAAGTCTTTTCTAAGTATTTTGCAAAAACAAAAAAAGTTACAATATAAATTTTATTAGATATGATTTATTAATATAATGATGATATATTTTATTAAAATTATAAATGTGACTTAAAACTTATTAACCAAATCAAATGAGTTTAAGAAGCAATTAAATTATAATTCTAATCCTTAAAGAAAGATTAAAATACTTTAGAAACTTAAATATGTTTTTAATTATATAGAAAGATATTCTATGAGTCTTATTTTTATTATTTTAATTTTATATGATAGTTGTAATATACAAATATGAAAAAGTAGTTCATATTGTCTATAATTTAGTTTGAAAAATCTTGTTTTTATTAGTATTATTGGAAATAATTAATTTGGTAGGTGTAAACTAGTTTTATATATTGAATTTTAATTAAATTTAATTATTAGTTTTTAGATAAATTTCATTCATCTGCTTGTTATGCTAATTGGTTCTTTTTTGATACTTAAGTAAGATGTGGTTTATTTTTAGTTTAAGTCATTTTTTATTTTATTTTAGAGCTGGTTTGATATTCTTTACAATTAGTTTGAGCTAAACGCTTACTTATTTAAATTAAGTTTTTTAATCATTTAATTTGGAATTTGTTATGGATTTCCACTTTTGTTGGTGTTATATAATTAAGCGGCGAACTCAAAAAAATCATTTTATTTCACCAATTTTATTTAATTCTTACCTTAAACTTATAAATTTTCATTTGTATTAATATACCTTACATGATCATCTTCTAGTTTAATAGCAGGGAATACCTCTTTTTGTTTTTAGATATTTATGTTATTCTTACTTCCAATATTATATCTGTTAAAAGTTTTAATATCTTCTCCGCTGTGCTTCCTGGAGAGTAAAAAGGCATTAATATCTCTTGGAGTGTTGGCTTCTGTTTATAATCTATTAACATTTAGATAATCATTTTGGATATTTTCATTGGTACTATTAAAATGTGGGGCAGCAATATCTTTTGAGTTGACTTTATATTGAATATGGTTTAGGAGGTTAACACCCTTATTAGGTACTTTATGGTAGATGTGATTTTATGAGACTGTAAGTTTTTCATCTTCTTTTTGGTTATTATATTTAATCCTTTATGATCTAATCGAACCTTTGAATCCAGAATCCATATCTACAACTTTATGATTTGGTGTATATTTGGTGTAGTCAGAGTTTTAATTTATTTGAAACCCGAGTGGCTAATTTGGAAGAATGAGTTAAGCAAAATTAATTTGCTACTTTTATTAAATAGATTATTCTCCTTCAATGTTTTCTTTTACAATATATCGATGTGACTTAATAGAATTAGTAACTTGAAATTAATTATGATGTAAATATCGATTATACTCATTTAATTTTTCATTATTTTACAATTTGAGCAAAGAGGCATCTTTTGTAGTATTTTTATCAAATTCAAAATCAACGCCATTATTGTAAATCTGTGCAGCAAAAACATTCTTTTTAGGTTTTAAAAATTCTACATTGCTATTTATAACCTTTACTCTCACATTTAAATTTTTTTTGATAGCATCATCTTAGTTGCCACCTCTACTTTAAAGTCTAGAGTCCTACCTTCCACTTTATGAGCTTTAAACATTAGCTAACCTCTTACCTTCTAAATATTATTAAAGAGATTATTCGATCATTTTTCTCGTTAATTAATCTCCTTTCTTATGTGTATTGTAAAAGCTCAAACTTAGTTACTCATAGTAGTTATTTGGATCTTTAAGCTCATCTGGATCAACGTCTCTTTCTAAAGTAAAAGAATGGAACTCTTCTTCAGGTCCTTCCTCTTCTTCTTCCTCTTCATATTCCTCCTCTTATTGTTTGTTTAATTACGCTATATTACCATTTAACCCATTAATACTTTGATTTTATTCTTCTAAGGCATTTATATTTGCTTCTTCATTTTCTTCATCATCATCATCGACATTATTTTCATTGTCATAATCTAAACTGTTATCCAAAAAATTTTCTATGGACCCACCTTCAGCAGCAGCAACTTGTCCTTATTAATTTTAAATATTTTCAGCGCTGTTGCTATTTTAAGAGTTTTATTCAAATTCTTAATCTTTTTAATGGATATCATTTGAGTCCTAATGACGAATGTTTGGATGCGCGTTTGACATTTATGTATGTATGCTATTAGTTTGATTATTGATATAATAAGGTTTTGAGTAATTAAAATCAATATTTTTATGATTATCTTTTTATAAAGTTAGACAATCAATATTAATTAATTTTTCAAGTAAAACTAAAAGCCAATTAAAGGTTGTAGATTTTTTAATTTGCTAGTTGATTAGTGTTATTTTGTTAATATATATATTTGTATGTATGTAAGTGGTTGATAAAGTCTTAGATAATTGTTTTTTAGTAAATTAGTTATTAACAAATTAACGCACATAAAAATATAAAGGTAAATCTTCATAAAAAATTATCATCTTTGAGAGTTCAATTTTTTTCCAAATGATTTTTGGCTAATATCATTAATTTAATGTTATTATTCATAATACTGTTTATATTTTTAAGCCAGTTCTTACTTCTATTCTAATTCTTTAATTTCTTTGACAATTTTCATAAAGCGTGATATTATTTTTAAATATATAAATGTTTTTTTTCTCTTTGTTAGTTTCATTTTAACACATGAACAAAATCTATCATTTATTTATAAAGCTAAATTATTATGTTATAATACAAAAGAATGAATAAATAAATCTTTTTGTAATAAATTATAAAATATTTAAAATTATTGACAAGAAATATAAATAAATAAACACAATCATTTTCAAGACGAATATTTTTTTGAATGATTATCAAAAATTATTTTCAATTTCAATATAAAAAATAAAAAATGAATGTAATAACTAACTAAAATCACTTAAAAAATATCAAACCAGCAATCGATAATGTCTTAATATTGTTGTTAGTGTATTAGCATAAATTAAAAAAACTAAACACGTTGGTGATATCAGATTATTATATAAAATTCATACTAAAATTATCTCGAAATTCTTTTTTTGCTTGTTTTATTTTGAAAAAAATCTATTTGGTTATATCTTGATATTAATATCATTACTTGAAAAATTCTATCATTATTCAGTACAAATCTTAAAGCTAATATTTTTGGAATAAGCCAATATCATTTAGTTTTTTATTTAAAAAGAACTCTGTTAGGTATTAAGCTGTAAGCATACCAGTAAAAGGAATTAATCCTACTATAGGCACTGAAATTCCTGGGTTTTTCATCATGATTCCAATTAAATCTCTCCTTATCATCAAGTAAGCAATACTTGCTAAAGTCACTCCAGATGATATTTTTACATTAGTATTAATGCTACTAATTTTATCTTCAATATAATAGTAATCTGATTTAGTGATATCAGGATGAAGCTGAATCTTTTCATATTTCTTAAATTTATTTGAATCTCTAACATTTTTAAAATACATTTATCTATAAACTCTACTAGCATACTTATTAGGCACTTTTTCTTTCTCTTTTTTTAATGTTTCACGAACTGCTTTTCTCAATGAATTTTTGAACTATTCAGTCCTCCAAAGTGCCATTCTATTGTCATTAATTTTTTTCAATTCATCTTCTGTAATAGTATCAGGAGCAAATGGAACTTCCTTCACTGCGCTCTCTAAAGCTGAGTGAAATTCAGTACTATTTTATGAATTCATTTCAATTATTTTATTTATAAAGATACTACTTTCCTTTAAAAAGTATATTTACAATTTGATATTGTTGTTGTTTAATATGCTAACAAAAGCAATATAAGATTTTGTAAATCATTTAATTTTCTAGAAAACTAATAAGAATCTATCAATTTATTCTAATTTATTTCAATAAAATCTGCAAAATTTTAAATAAAATCATAAAATAATTTCTTGTTGCTTGTTTCCATTAATGAATTAAAATTTTTTAGAAATGTTCAAAAATAATTTTATTTAAATGAATTTTAAGAATAATTTTGAATTTAAAATGAAAAAACTACAAACATAAATAAACATATTAAAGTATACAAAAAAAATGTGAGTTTTTATAAAACAACTTTTTAAGAAAATTGTTTTGAGAAGTATTATTTGTATTCTTTCAAAAATATGATGTTTCAAAAACTGCTCCACCATATTTTGATGGTCCCCAATACAGATTTTAGTCTAATATTTAATCTTGTTTGGCACTTTAAGGGACTGAGTTAGCATATTCATATTTAAATGGTTTCTTAAGAGGGATTTGATTTAAATATAGTTCTTCTATTGGGTAAATATGGAATAATAGATTAAACAAAGAAACTATCGAGACTGTTTAAGATTATAAACTGCTTACAAGGTTTTAAAATCTTTTTGGAAGAGCATGCCATTTCTTTTTTAAAAAAGTTTTAATCATTTCAACTGTTTAGAGTTCTTCGTTATTTGCGTTGCTCACTAGCCATGAGTTTAATCTTATAATAAATTAATACTCATTTTAGTGTTTTGGCTTGAAAATCCTAATTTAAGGAGGTATTTCGTAGAGAAAATCAAATTACTCACAAATTTCAGGTTTTTCAAGGATTGAATAAAAATAGGCTTTTTCTGATTTATTGCAGTCAGTTATGAACCAATTCAAAGCTCCATTTAAATCTAAGCAATATCCTTATTTTCTTCCATATGTGAAGGAAAAGGGGTAAGCATATGGGCAGATATCCATAGCTAAATAGTATTACATAGGAGGAGGGGTTATTATTTTTTATGGCTCTTAGGAATTTGTTAATTTTTTAACTTCAGTTTAATTATTTTTTTTTTACTCTTTTGCCTCTTTTACATTTTTTAGCAAATCGTTTCTACACTGATTCCAAACTCTTGCTAGCCTGTTTTGCCAATCAGACTTAAAGTATCTGTATTTTCGAGCATCTCTAGTAATTAATGCTATTTTTTTTAATTAATCAGGGATTTGTGCTGCATCCTAAGCTATCAGGTTTTTAATAGCTGAAAAACTCAATTATTGCAAAAAAGGATATAACAAATGCTTTTAGGGATTTCTAAGAGTCTAATTGTTTGCAATTTCAATACATGTTTAAAGTCTATTAAGGGCTTGCTTTAATCCCATGTAGAAGAGACATTCATATTTATCTTACAAGCGATAGTCTTGATCAACTAAAGTGTTGGCATTATAAATGGATAATCTGACATCATATTTATTTTACTTTAGTTAAGTGTGCCTATTAATATTGTATATGATTTTCATTAACCTATTTATTGATTTCTTAGAATATACTTTATCATCTTTTATTTTGTTGAACTTTTTCTAAAGATATTCATTCAGGCAAAAAACATCTGTGAATGCTTTCTTTTGAATCTTTTTAAAGAAAGGAATATTTTTCATTTATGAAATCTTTTACTACAGGTTTTTGAGTTTAGTGAGTTTAGGTTGTCCAACTGTTAAGTTAGTATTAGAATTAATCCCATTAAAAAATGGTGTTGTTACCATAAGAATCGCAAGTTAAGGGCACTTTTCAAGAATCTCCTAACCATAGAAAGCAATCATAAATCCGTAAAGTAGCTCTAAAGAAAGATTCTCATTTGATGGTAGAATATCCTTACTGATCTCTGAAGTAATAAGCTAAAGATTAAGATTGAGGATAGTTCTATAAAGCTACATATTATAACTTGTTTGAGAGCCTCTACTTTTGATGAAATTATTAACTTCTTATAGGATTTATTCTTTAACAGATACAATCCTAAATTATTTATTTTCTAACTTGCTTTTTTCAGCTAGGTCAATAAATTCAGATATGAGAGTATCCAAGTTATCAGATTGTAGTACTATATTCTAACCTTAGAATTAAATTTTTGATACCTCTTGTAAGACTTCATAGGAGTAGTTTGCAGGGCAAAGATAAAATCCTACTTGGTTTACTTTCGGACTTAGAAGCGCTGCTGAAGTTACTTTAGTTTAAAGATCTTGCCACTGCCAAAAATATTTATTTTGCATAAGAATCGACCAAGGGTGTGCTTTAATTGTACTGAATTCAAATTTTTTGATATCCATTGATGATACAATACTGTTTCAATTGATTTATATGAAATGAATTTTTCTATTTAAATAATTATAAATATTTTCATTATTATCACTTCAATTTTAATTAGGTTTTAAAATTCTTTTATTGCTGAATAAGAAAATTTAAATTTTATTTTAAAATTTGCTAGATGTTCTGATTAAAATAACTTATAGCATTCATCTTATTCAATTTTATCTAAATATTTGCTACTTTTTCTGTCAAACTTTTTTTGATTAATTTTTCTATATTCAAAAGTAGCAATTTCTTCCTTTAAAAAAAATAATATGAATTCGAATACTTTAATTAAATTTTAAGAATTTACATCAAAAATTTAAATTTTGTCACCAAAAATTAAAATACTATGCTTGATTTCTAAGTAAAGGTATATATATATCATGAATTTCAAAATATCTGTCACCCTCATTTAAAAACTTTCATTCAGAAGAGTCATGCAAAAGGATTATTAAGAAAGAGGTTAATGAAATATTCAGTAATGCTTAGTATAGAATAATTAAGGTATATTATTAGATAGTCTATAAAAAAAAAAAAATTTTTTAGAATATGAATTTTAATCAAATTAATAATAATAAAAAATTAGGTTTCATATTACATTCACACACATCTAAAATACATTTTATACAAAAATGAAATAGAAAATCAAAAAAATTAGTAATAGTATATTGTTAATATATTTGCAGAATAATAATTCAAACAATATTTAGCAAATATAATGAATGGAAGTTAGCTCAATAAAAATATTATATACCTTATATCTAAATTGAATCCATCACTATAATTTATAATTATTAATATAAGGCTCAAGAAAAACTAAATTGAATTTACTATCAGATTAATTAACTATAATCTAAATATTATTTTATTATTAAAATTTACCAAATTTTTAGTTTCTTAGCTTTATAGAATCATTTTAAATTTAGCAAATTTATTTAAAAAAAAAGTAATAGCTAATCCTATTAAGCTACAGGCCATATTAAGATACTAAACATATACTTTAGTGGTATTAAATTCTAAATTAGCTAGCATAAATTAAGTTATTGTTTGCAAAATAAATATTTTCCAAAATAATTCAAATTTTAAAGCACGCATTAATAGCACATAGTATAATAATTGGATTAATTAAATTAATGTAATTAAAACAAAACGTAAAAAATTACCAATAAATTAATCTTCATCTTTTTTCTCGTTCTCTTAATCACTTAGAGATAGTAGTGATATTTAAACTAATAACCATAAAATAGTAAAAACTAATTAAAAAAAATTAGTTGGACGGGTAATTCTATAGTTACTTTAATCATAATTTATAATTTCTAAGTTATTTTAGACAAAATATTCATTCATATTGTAAACAAGCAAATCATATGTTTTAACAGAATTTATAATTAATTATGTTGACGTAGATTATTTTATTGTTAAATCTATTTAATCAATCTCCATTTATGATGACTAAATATTAATTTTTATATCTTCAGTAAAATGAAAATTTAATTAATTGGAACCATTTAATGATCTTAGTTTTGAATTTCGAATGTCAATAATGAATAAAATTGAGTTTTGATACAAATAATCTAATATATCTTGTATATTTTATTAGGAATCAAACTCTATAAAATTAAAATACAAATTAATTATTCCATTTCTTTAAAATTCAAAACATTTTATCAAATTCAATAAAGTTTCAAAATCGATAAAGCAATCGTTAAACTTTATATTTAAGTTTACAATCTCAAACCCCTTAAGTTTTTATTCTAAAAATTAAACTAGGTTCTAATTTTTAAAAATTTTAATTTTAATAAAATCTAAATCAATTTATTTAACAGCTTTAGCAGGTATTTTTTTATTTAAATAGTTTATAAGACTGCCATATTCATAATCTTATATAAGTTATTTTTAATACTCAGAAAATATTTTTAACTTAACAGAGTCTTTTATTTTTTTAACTTTTTTATTCTCAATAATTTAAATGCCTTTAAAATAATTTTATGAGTATTTTATATTATTTTCAAGTATTTTATCTTAAAAAGAGATCATAAATATATAAAATGATTTTATTTAGTTCTTATTTTGTAGCAATTTTAAAAATATTTAATTATTGCTCTGGTCTTAACGATTTTAGATTTCTTAGGTTATTTCAATTTATTAATATTACATATTTTAAATATCATTTAGTAAGTCTTTAATTACTTATTTAAAGAATTCCAACATTATGTCATCATTAGTTTTTTACGAAGATATTTTCTCAATAGTATAATATTTGTCTAATAAATAACAAATTTTAAAAGTGTTAAAATCTTTCTACATTTTCAAATTTTAGGATTGATTTTCAAATTATTCTGCAATTATAAGAGTATTCTCTTTATGGTTTGATTCATGTTTTAATATCTCAATTAGATCCTATTATTTTTATGCTTTCTTTTAAATATGTATTGCCAAATAGAGATTTTAGTCACTTATAGTAAGATAACTTGATAAGTTGTCAATGTTGGATACGAAAACTTAAATAAATAAGTTTTTATTGTTATTTTCACATTTATTACTTAATTTTGGAATTTATTCCTAAAATAGTAAATATTAATTTTCATCAAATGATATAATAATCTTTTGTAGTTTATTTGATCTTTTAATTTTTTTTTTCAAAGCCTGAATTATTAAATTAATCTGATAATCATAAATAGACTCAATGTTAATTTAAAGAAGATCTATCTGCTCTTTCATTTCAAAACCCATTAAGTTTTTTTATAGCCTTTAGGAATAGTAATAAAAATACACATGAATAATAGATACATCGAACTATTCAATAATGAATGCTGGAACATCATCTTATAATTAAATTAAAGGAGTTTTATTCTTAATTTTTTATAAAAATAATTAAATTAATTATCCTTTATTGTTAAATTTTTAATCAGTTAATCCAAAATACAAGATGTCTTTCTCATATAATTTGAAATATCTGCAAAAATGATTGTATTAACTGATATCTCTTTCATTCTATAATTAATTTCTTTAGTTAATAGCTATATCTATTTGAGTTGTTTGATTTACCTAAAATTTAGAATTTGAGTTTCTATAGAGAATTAGATCTATAATCTATATGCTAAACCTATTTATTGATATTATTTCATATTATTATTTTTATTCGTTATATATTATGTCATATAAATTGCTCATAGCTTATTTAAAATATCCACCAAAATCTGAAATTAAGAATATTTTTTATTTTGGAGGCTATATAGTTAATCCTTGTTGCATTTAATAGATGTACGATAGACAATCAATCAAATAATTACCTAATCTTTTAAATTCTGGTTTTATTCTATTTTTATAATCCTAGCACTTATTCACATCAAAGTTTTGTAATTCAGGATAGTATATCATTTCAACATCAATCATCACCAAAAAAGTAATTATTAATTAAGCATAATCACAGTTTATAACTTCTGACTATTTCCATTCTTTTTTATTTCTTTTATCCAAATAAATTTAAAGATTATATATTCTTGTGTAAGACTATAAGTATTCTTGATAAGATTGTTCTCTATCTAAAAAGACAGAGGCTCCGAAATCAATAAAATAAAAATGTAGATCATAACCTATCACAATATTTTATGGTTTTATGTCAGAGTGGGCTATCTTGCATGTTTTATGCATCTGATTTAACTTCTATAGCAATTAGCAAAAGCCAAATTCAAGAATAAGATTGTAGCATTCATAATTTTTGTTAATCTAATATTATTTATATACTAAATCTAAGCTTTTTAAACCAGAATCTATGTATAGAATGCACTTTTCATTTAAATTCTACTCTTTTAAGAATTCATATTTAATAAATGGTAATGTTACCTAAGTATTTTGCTATTAAATATAATTCAAAATATCAATTTCAATTTATAATTCATTTTTAAACTCATCAGAACTCATTTACTGGTCTTTTTCATAAGATTTTAAAATTACAAGCTTCTTACCATCATTAGAAATATTAGTTTTAATAGAAACACAATATGTTCCAACTTTACTGTAATACAATTTTTGTATAGTTTACTATTTTTTTTTTTAATTAATGTAATTATTAATATTGAAATCGCTTGATATACTTTGTGTTTATTCATCCTGTATTACTTCATTTTCAAAAGAACTCCCTAGATTTCCTATAATATTATTTAAAATATTATTTCTCACTATTTTATCACTTATAAGAAGCTTTTCACTGTAAATTAATACATCATTATTAAATTATTAATTGGTTATTATTTGTTAACAAATGAAAAGATTCTTACATATAAATTATTAGCTTAATTAATTTTTTTACTCCTCTGTGCTCTCTTCACATTTCTCATCTATCATTTCAGTATAATGTTCAAGTTCTACTTTAGCTGCTTCGTTTTCTATTACTTTATTCTTTCTTTTTTTTAATTGAGTTTAATCATTACTTCCAAAGTATTATTTAACTGAACGAAAAATAGATGTTTTTTAAGAACTTTCTTGACTTTAATTATTTCTTTTAATCGGATATGAAGGTTTGAAGCTCTCCTCAGTAACAAATTGATAACTTTTCTCCTTTTATATTAACTCTTAAGTGATTTAAAGAATATCCATTTCAATCTAAATACTTTATTTTAATATTGTTAACTTAATAATAAAAAAATAATATTTAGTTTTTTATCTTTTAATTAATATAATATAATTAAATTAAACAAAGATACACTAAATCTTAAACAATTAATTCTAATTGATATCTTCATTAAATATCTAAAATGGATTTATAAAATTGAATGCTCTTAAAATCTTGTTTTACTAATAAGTAATATTAATTATATTAAGATTGATAAATCTTTTTAAAAAAGTAAATAAAAATGTTCGTTGAAATAATAATAATTAAAAGATATTTGTAAAACATAAATAACTATAATAAACATAAAATAGATTTTTACTTGAATATCTTTAATATCAAGTTATAATAGGAAATTTACTACATCAAATTTCTATAAAAATATTCAAAGAAACATAAATCTATCTTTATCAAAAAAATAGAAAAATTATTCTCAAAATGTATTTAAATTATTATTTGTTTACTCAAAATCATTGAATTTAATCACTATTTTGAAGTAAATTTTATTAAATGGTAGTTTTTTCATTAGTAGGTTTTACTTTCAAATTTTATTATTAATTTTTTTATATATCCTTATAAATTTCTTAAAGATTGCTAAAGTTGAACCACCTCGTTTCAACAATATATTTCATTGAAAACAAGAAGCCTAAAAAGCCAAAAAATCCATAAATAATGTGATTAATATATTGATAAGGATTGACAAGCAATACAAAGGAAAAGAAGTGGCCAAGCCAGTTTGCCATAATGCTGTAACTGAAACCTCTATCTTTTAGAATGTCAGAAGTCAATATGACAGTAACAGGACCTATAGTAAAGTTGAATGATGCATAAAAGAATAATAAGAACATGAAAAAGGTAAACTAGAGAGTTAGATTTTCCTTCAAATTATTAAAACAACTACTAATTATGGCCATAATAAACTAACATATGGAACAAAGTAGGAATCCTCCTACAAGATATTTCTTACGAGCTAACTTACGGTCAAAGGCAACACCTAAAGTAGATACAAATAAATTGAAAACATAAGAACCAAGAATCAAGCATCTTTCCATTTCAGGATTGTCTGTTAGAAGTCCAATGACTGACCCAGAGAGACCTATTACAGCAGTTCCTCCAGACATTTCTTGACAAAAATTAATTAGTATTCCAACCCTCAAGCGATTTTTATAAGATTTACCATAATCTTAAATTATATTGATTTCTTCGCTTACTAAAGAATTGAAATTATTTGCTTGTTCTGAGCTTTCGACATCTTAACATGACCCAATTTGTAGTTCTGTTTATATTTCATTAATATCAAAAGAACCTGGTACAAGATACTATTATTCTAATTCGAGTATGCATTTATCTTAGTAGATTAATTCTAAGGCTTCTCTTCCTTGGATTAATTGTTTTTTTCTGTAATAATAATAAGGGGTATCTTTCTTATATATAAAAACTAGAGAAAGCAATCTTATTATAGAAAAGATAGCAGGAAATAGAAAGATAAAATGCCAGTAGTTACCAATTTCTTAATCGTTATCAGTGAAATTTTCCATTGGAATTTAGTTAAAAAATGCTAATAATATTCCAAGTGAAATATTTGCCTAGAAAAGAGACTCCGTTTTTGAAGAAATGTGATCTGGAGATATCTCACGGATATAAAGAGGGGTTACTATTAGATCTATTCCGCATGTAGCTCCCATGAGAAAACGAGCTATTACAAATACATACAAGGAGGGAATCTATGTTAGAATTGTAGCAGTTATGAAAATAATATCAGAAATAATCATGCATTAGCGCCTTTCAATTTTTGCAGTAAAGAGAGGAATGAAATAAGAAATAATAAATCCAGAGACACAAAAAATAGGTCCAATCAAAAGACAAAGCAAACGAGTTTGTTCAGTTAATTATTTTTCATTCTAACTTTCTTCAAATATCTAAATTCCATTCATACTTAGAATGTACATTCCAGTAAAGAGCATTTCAGTTAAAACATAACCTTAATAAATACCTCCTGCGCATACACTTTAGACTCTTAAAAAGAGAGATAGATTTGATTTTAAAGTGTACTTTTTTCCAGCCATATTAATAAAGATTTGTTGATTTAATTGTTGTTTTTGCTTTTTTATAAGTTTTGTTAATTTAATGTATTTATATATTATAAATTAAATAAATGCCTAATTTATAAATTAGCGTTATTAGCTCTATTACATTTTTATTACGAAACTAAATAAAATTAATTAGTTTTTGGTGTAAATGTTGTGAAGATAAAGTTTTGGATTATTAAAGAGTTAAGTATATTTAAATTAAGAAATTATATCTTACTTGGTAATAAAGCTAATTAATATTTTTATATATCTGATGCATCAATTTAATTCTGTTAAAAGCTTACCAACTTTGTAACCCAAAGTAAACAAGTAAAAGCCAAAATTATTTATATGTTTATTATTATCAAATATGCCAGAGTTATTTATTAGATATACTTGAATAACATGTTTCCATGAATTTTTGAGTTTTCTTTTTAAATATTTAAGTGGAATTTACATTACATGTATTTAATTTACTACTTATGTATTTCTTGAAAAAATTTCCTAATAAATTTGTACTTTGTAAATAAAAAAATTTAATAAAGATAAAAATAAATAATTGAATTTGAAATAGATCAAATACTCAATTTGTATATTTCATTTTCAAATAGTTTACTAAAAAATTTACTTAATAACTTATTAATAAATATTTTAATATATATACCTTATTTTTAAGTTAAAAGCGACATACTTTTTTTATCAATAGAATTGTTAGATTTTGTTGTATTTGAATATTGTATAAAATATTAATGCAGGTAATAATTACTAAATTTAGATAAATTGCATTAAATTTTAATAATATTTTAGTATTTATATCATTTTTCATAAAAATAGATTCGTCAAGTATTATAAAAATAGATAAATTTAGATTTGATAAATCTATTTTTGCAATATTTGCTGTGAGTATAAATTTTTTCTAATCAGTATTAATGCAAATTGATTAAAAATCCTAATCAAAATTATTTAAAAAGTACTTTTAATCTAATTATCAAAAACAAAAGCTCAACTATTTTTCATTTTCCTTTTTAATTAATTGATAGCCATTTCTTCATATATTTAAATATTTATAGTTACATAGAAATAAGAAAAGATGATTTAAGTTTAAGCAAAAAAATTTAAATCGCAAAATAAAAAGATTCTCACCTTGATATTTTAATTTCACTTAATTTGAATGTTTTCAATTATATTAAACTTTGTAAGGCATAAAAATAAAAAATGATAATTCAAATTAAAATATGATTAGTTATAAAAAATTTTCTACTAATATTTTTCTGCTAATTTATTTAAAAATATAATATTGATTTGATTACAGACAAATATATGAAAAAGCAAATAATATCACACTAAAATATAAATTTTTTATTATTACATAAAAAAATATCAGATTTTTTATAATTAATTTCAAATAAGGAATTATAATTTTGAATTCAGATCCGTATGGATGCTAACATGAATATAATATAAAAAATCTTAATATTTATTTAGAAATATAAATTGTGATTTCTTTTTACTTAAACCTACCCACTTACAACATTACTTCAAATTAATAAATTTTATTGATGAAAAATAAAAAATTTAAAAAAATAGAATACTTTAATGGATAATAAAAATTACAAGTATAGTTTTATAATTTTTAGTTTATTATAATCAATAATTTATTTCTTGGTTAGAAATCAATTTCTATTTAATTTCTATTTTTTGACTAGTTTGCTTTTTGTAAAGCTATTCATGCTAATTTTTTTGAATATCTTTGTAAAGTTCTTAAATGTTGCTAAAGGTAAGCCATTTTGTCTCAATAATATACTTTGTTGAAAATAAAAATCCTATAAAAGCAAATGAACCATAAATAATATGATTGATATATTAGTAAGGATTAACCAAAAGACAGAAAGAAATCAAAAGTCCAAGCCAATTTGCCATAATGCTGTAGTGAAAACCTCTATCTTTAAGGATATCTGATGTCAAAATAACAACTACATGACCTACAGAAAAACTGTAAGAAGCATAGAACAAGAAAACAAATAGCAAAAAGACGAATTATAGAGTGTAATTTTAGCTGAGGGTTGTAGTAAAGCTACTAATTAAAGCAATAGCAAATTAAAATATTGAGCAAACTAAAAAGCCACCAACTATATATTTCTTACGAGCTAATCTACGGTTAAATGCAACACCTAAAGTAGCAACTAATAAGAGGAAAATATATGATCCTAAAATAATGCATCGTTGAATTTCATAATCACTAGTAATAAGCCCAACAATCACAGGCGATAAACCTATCATTGCAGTACAGCCAGTCATTTGTGAGCAAAAATTAACTACAAGTCCTACTTTTAAACGGTTTTTGTAAGACTAATCATAGTCTTCTATTATCTTAATTTCTTCACTCAAAACGGAGTTATAATTAGCATTTACTGCTTCAACGTTTTGATTAAGAGTAAGTTGCTGAGTAGTTTTTATTTCTTAAATATCTATTGATCCTGGGGCCAAATATTATTATTCTAGCTATAAAATATATTTTGGTTTGAAAATTTATTCTAGAGCTTCTCTTCCTTTATCTAAGTTATTATTTCTATAGTAATAGTAAGGTGTGTCAACCTTATAAAAAAATTTTAGGACAACAAGACGCCATATAGAGAAAAAAGCAGGAAAAGCAAACACAAAACGCCAATTATTTCCTATTTCCTAATCATTACTAGCAAAACTTTACATTGGAATTGAAGTTAAAAATCCTACGATAACTCCAACAAAAACATTTGCTTAGAAGAGTGAACCTGTTTTAGATGCCATATTATCAGGAGATACTTCACGAATGTAAAGAGGAGTAATCATTAGATCTATTCCACATGTTATTCCCATCAAAAGACGAGCAATCATAAATACATACAAAGATTCAATTTGAGTGAGAGCAGTTGCAAGCAAAAAAATTAGATCTGATATAATCATGCACTAACGCCTTTCGAATTTAGTAGTGAATAGCGGAGTAAAATAAGATATAAGAAATCCTGAAACACATATGATAGGTCCAATTAAGAGAGTCATATAACGTGCTTTCACTGATTCAGGCTTATCAGGTAAATCATCGTCATAGATATTTATTCCATTCATACTTAGAATATAAGCACCAGTAAAAAGCATTTCAGACATGGCATAACCTTGATAGATAGCTCCAGCGCAAACACTTTAAACTCTTGTGAGCAATGAAAAATTGGATTTATGTTATTATTCTTCTACTTACATTTATGAATTATAATCGAATAATTTATTTTTTTTAAGTTAATTATTTTTGTTTTTAATTATTTATTTCTTAAAATATAGTTGAATATATAAAATACTCAAAATATTTGAATGCATGATAGACAAAATCACTAATATATAATTTATCAGAATTAAAAGTAAAGGATAGTGAAAGCAAACTTTTAATTATCTTCAAAAATAGAAAAAAGCCAAATCTAATTATTGAATTATTAAGTTAAGATTCCAAATAGGAAATAATTAAAATTAAAAAAAGAAAACCCCCACCCTATATATCTCAAACAAAATATTACCTCATTTTAAAAACTTAATATTAATAATTCATCATTAATAGTACTGTTGAATTTTGTTAATATTTGTAATTAATGTTAATCATTGTTTATTTTGTTTTACACTTTTTATATTCCCTTTTTGTAAGAATAACCAGAAAGAAAAAAAATAGATTAGAAAAGGTAATTTAAAGTTACAATCTTTTCTTAAGCAGATTCAAAAAGTAAAAAGAAGAAAAAAAATAAACTAAAAAAGTTTACTCTAATAATAAAAAAACAAAAATTATTCAGATTTTTATTTTTTATCAGTACAAATATGTTTTTATTTCTTTTATATTTTAATTATATATGCTATAAATATTTAGGATACTAAGTGCACCTTTATTTTGTTATTTTAAGCTATCAATTAAAATATTAAACACTAAATTCCACTAATTACTTTAACCTAAATATATGCATTTAATTTTTATTTTTTTAATATTTTTTAACCTAAAAATTAATAAGAGTCTTTTATAAATGAGAATTGGCAAAACTTTATTTATTTATATTTAAATTTTAATTTATCTGTTAATGAAAAATAGATAAAGGATGCAAAAATATTATATTTCCAATACAAAAGTAGAATATAAATTATATACTTTAACGTATTTATTCAAACATTTGAAGTTATTAAATGCTAAAGTTCAAGGTTTTTATGTATGTTAATTTATTCATTATATATTCTCTCATGCTAGTCTTTTTATATGTCTTTGTAAAGCTCTTGGATATTGCTAAAATTTAACCATCTTGTTTCAACAATGTAGTTTATTGAAAATATAAATCCAAAGAATGCAAATGAGCCATAAATTATATGATTTATATATTGATAAGGATTGATCAACAATATAAATGAAAAGAAAATTCCAAGCCAATTTGCCATAATGCTATAACTTAAGCCTCTATCTTTGAGAATATCTGTGGTTAATATTACTGTAACAGGACCAACAGTAAAATTATATGCAGCATAAAAGAAAAATATAAAGAGCAGAAAGACAAATTAAAGTGTAATATTTTCTTTTAGAGTAGACTTGAAACTACTAATTATGGCAAGAATAAATTAAAAAATTGAACATAGCAAGAAGCCTCCAACTAAATATTTCTTACGAGCTAGTTTTCTGTTAAATGCCACTCCTAAAACAGCAACAAAGAGAAGGAAAAAATAAGTTCCCAAAATTATGCAGCGTTTAGTCTCATAGTTGCTTGAAATTAGACCGATTACAACACTTGAAAGACCTGTTAATGCTGTACAACCAGTCATTTGTTAGCAAAAATTAACTACTAGCCCTACTCTCAAACGATTTTTATATGAATGCTCATATTATTTTATAATTTCTACCTTCTATTAGATATCGAAATTAAATGTTTTTTGCTCTGCTTCTGACTAAAGACCTTATTTTTCTGCTATCTTGCGCTTATGAATATCCTAATGATCTGGGACATCTATAGAACTCGGTTTTTAATGCTATTATACAAAGTGGTGAACATATTTCTCTTAGTATATTTACTATAGAGCTTGCTTGCCTTAGTCTTAATTTCCTTTTCTATAATAATGGTAAGGAGTATCTATTTTGTAAAATACAAGTATTGAAATTATTCTTATTATTGACAAAATAGCAGGAAAGACAAAAACAATTCTCCATTTATTTCCAATAGGTTAGTCATTGCTAGAAAATTCGTCAACAGGAATTTGCAGTAAAAAAGCAAGGATTGCACCAATAAATATATTTGCTTAGAAGATGCAGCCTGTTTTACCAGCCATATTATCAGGAGATATTTCACGGATGTATAAAGGAGTTACTACAAGATCAATTGCACACGTTATACCCATTAAAAGGCGAGATATCATGAATAGTTCCCAAGTTGGTAGTTAAGTGAAAATAGTTGCTATTAAAAAAATAAGATCTGAAATAATCATGCATTAGCGTCTTTCAATTTTTGTAGTAAAAAGAGGAATGAAATAAGAAACGATGAAACCAGACACACAAATTATAGGCCCAATAAGTAGAGGCATATAATGAGCATTTTCTGTCTCAGGTTTACTTGGATCAGACATATCGAAAATATCAATACCACTCTTACTTAAAATATATGCACCAGTGAATAACAACTCTGCCATTGTGTAGCCTTGATATATTGCTCCAGCGCATACACTCTGAACTCTCAAGAAGAGTGATAAATCTGAAATATGATGATAATTTTTGCCAGGCATTGTATTAATATTTTTATTGTCAATTTACCTATTTATAATTTATATTTTTAAGCTTAATCCTATCTATTTTTTTATTCTTATAATAATTATCTTATTAAGTAATAGAAAACTTCTACACAGATATAAGGCTCAATAAATTGAGAATTATTAATTATTTACCAATCAATAGTAATAAAATTAAACAGAATCTATTGTAAAGAGGATTAATTTATTTAATGATTTGCTTATGATTAAGTATTATCAAATTTCTTCTATATTTTTGACAAAAATTATTTAGTTGCAAGTTTTATTTAAATTATGCACTAAATTTATTGTATTTGATGATAAATTTTATTCAAACAGCAATTTTCATTTTTTTTTAAGATTACAATCTTCTTATGAATTCTTACACATTTAAAGAAAGTTTAATCTTGTATGAAAATAGCGTAAATGATATTTTTTAATACAGATCTTAAAAAATAAATCAAATTAGCAAACAAAAATCAATTTAAAATAATTAGTTATATATTTTTACAATCTAAAAATCATTTATTATTTTAAAATAAATATTGACAAAAATCTTTTTGTTTATTTTTGAACCCATAAGTTTTAACTAAATTTAAAGATTTATATTTTTAATACATGAATTAGTTAAATGGTTTCTTATTTACATAAACTTTTTTAATAGAAGTATAAATAAATAAAATATAATAATATATATAATAGAATATAATTTGTTCATTTAATCTTTTAGTTAAAAAAGTTTATTAAATATATATTTTTTATTTAATTTTATCTTTATATACTACTGTTAATATTTATATAAGCACTTTCTTGAAAGTTAAACTTTAAAAAGACAAAATTTTTTAATTGAATATTGTATAAAATATTAATGCAGGTAATAATTACTAAATTTAGATAAATTGCATTAAATTTTAATAATATTTTAGTATTTATATCCTTTTTCATTAAAATAGATTCGTCAAGTATTATAAAAATAGATAAATTTAGATTTGATAAATCTATTTTTGCAATATTTGCTTATAAATTTTTTCTAATCAGTATTAATGCAAATTGATTAAAAATCCTAATCAAAATTATTTAAAAAGTACTTTTAATCTAATTAACAAAAACAAAAGCTCAACTATTTTTCATTTTCCTTTTTAATTAATTGATAGCCATTTCTTCATATATTTAAATATTTATTGTTACATAGAAATAAGAAAAGATGATTTAAGTTTAATCAAAAAAATTTAAATCACAAAATAGAAAGATTCTCACCATGATATTTTAATTTCACTTAATTTGAATGTTTTCTATTATATTAAACTTTGTAAGGCAGAAAAATAAAAAATGATAATTCAAATTAAAATATGATTGGTTATAATAAATTTTCTACTAATATTTTTCTGCTAATTTATTTAAAAATATAATATTGATTTGATTACAGACAAATATATGAAAAAGCAAATAATATCACATTAAAATATAAATTTTTTATTATTACATAAAAAAATATCAGATTTTTTATAATTAATTTCAAATAAGGAATTATAATTTTGAATTCAGATCCATATGGATGCTATCATGAATATAATATAAAAAATATTAATATTTATTTAGAAATATAAATTGTGATTTCTTTTTACTTAAAACCTACCCACTTACAACATTACTTCAAATTAATAAATTTTATGAAAAAAATTGCTATTATTATTTGGTGTATTAAATATAAAAAAAATATTAAAAAACATTAGGTAGATTTTCAAGAAGTAAAAATGTTTTTAAAATAAATTTCCATTAAAATATTAGCTTTAAATCATAAAAATTAAATGAAATATCACTATCTGTACCTACTCAGTTCGTGATATTTTAATTACAGGAAAAATGTATAAAAATTGTTAAGATTTTTATTTTTTATCAGTACAAATATTTTTTTATTTCTTTTATATTTTAATTATATATGCTATAAATATTTAGGATACTAAGCTGCACCTTTATTTTGTTATTTTAAACTATGAATTAAAATATTAAACACTAAATTCCACTAATTACTTTATCCTAAATATATGCATTTAATTTTTATTTTATATATATTTTTTAACCTAAAAATTAAAAAGAGTCTTTTATAAATGAGAATTGGCAAAACTTTATTTATTTATATTTAAATTTTAATTTATCTGTTAATGAAAAATAGATAAAGGAAGCAAAAATATTATATTTTCAATACAAAAGTAGAATATAAATTATATACTTTAACGTATTTATTCAAACATTTGAAGTTATTAAATGCTAAAGTTCAAGGTTTTTATGTATGTTAATTTATTCATTATATATTCTCTCATGCTAGTCTTTTTAGGTGTCTTTGTAGAGCTCTTGGATATTACTAAAATTTAACCATCTTGTTTCAACAATGTAGTTTATTGAAAATATAAATCCAAAGAATGCAAATGAGCCATAAATTATATGATTTATATATTGATAAGGATTGATCAACAATATAAATGAAAAGAAAAGTCCAAGCCAATTTGCCATAATGCTATCACTTAAGCCTCTATCTTTGAGAATATCTGTGGTTAATATTACTGTAACAGGACCAACAGTAAAGTTATATGCAGCATAAAAGAAAAATATAAAGAGCAGAAAGACAAATTAAAGTGTAATATTTTCTTTTAGAGTAGTCTTGAAACTACTAATTATGGCAAGAATAAATTAAAAAATTGAACATAGCAAGAAGCCTCCAACTAAATATTTCTTACGAGCTAGTTTTCTGTTAAATGCCACTCCTAAAACAGCAACAAAGAGAAGGAAAAAATAAGTTCCCAAAATTATGCAGCGTTTAGTCTCATAGTTACTTGAAATTAGACCAATTACAACACTTGAAAGACCTGTTAATGCTGTACAACCAGTCATTTGTTAGCAAAAATTTACTACTATTCCTACCCTCAAACGATTTTTATATGAATTTTCATATTATTTTATAGTTTCTACCTTCTATTAGATATCAGTTTTAAATATTTTTTGCTCTGCTTCTGACAAAAGAGTTTATTGTTCTGCTATCTTACGCTAATTAATGGCTTAATGGTCCGGGACATCTATACAACTCGACTTTTAATGCTATTCTACAAAGTGGGGAACATATTTCTCTTAGTATATTTACTATAGGGCTTCCTTGCCTTAAACTTAATCTCCTTTTCTATAGTAATGGTAAGGAGTATCTATTTTGTAAAATACAAGAATTGAAATTATTCTTATTATTGACAAAATAGCAGGAAAGACAAAAACAATTCTCCATTTATTTCCAATAGGTTAGTCATTGCTAGTAAACTCGTCAACTGGAATTTACATTAAAAAAGCAAGGATTCCACCAATAAATATATTTGCTTAGAACAGGCAACCTGTTTTACCAGCCATATTATCAGGAGATATTTCACGGATGTATAAAGGAGTTACTACAAGGTCTATTGCACATGTTATACCCATTAAAAGGCGAGATATCATGAATAGTTCCCAAGTTGGTAGCTAAGTGAAAATAGTTGCTATTAAGAAAATAAGATCTGAAATAATCATGCATTAGCGTCTTTCAATTTTTGTAGTAAAAAGAGGAATGAAATAAGAAACGATGAAACCAGAAACGCAAATTATTAGCCCAATAAGTAGAGGCATATAATGAGCATTTTCTGTCTAAGGTTTACTTGGATCAGACATATCGAAAATATCAATACCACTCTTACTTAAAATATATGCACCAGTGAATAACAACTCTATATTTGTGTAGCCTTGATAAATTGCTCCAGCGCATACACTCTGAACTCTCAAGAAGAGTGATAAATCTGAAATATGATGGTAATTTTTGTCAGGCATTTTATTAATATTTTTATTGTCAATTTACCTATTTATACAGCTGTTCCTGGTTTTAAAATTCCGCTGATTGGATATATTTAATTAGCGGAGTTTGTAAAAATATTAATATATAAATGACAAAATGGCAGTTTATGTATTTTTTTTTTTCTTTTTTAAATCAGAATTTATCAGATATACCTTTAATTAAAAATCAAGGAGAGCATTTTAATTTTTGGTTCCAAAAATTAAATTTTTGCTGTAAATTCCTAAAATTTAATTAAAATATTCGAATTGAAAAAATAGAAAGAAAAATAAGGTTTAAGTTAATATTTCATTCAAATATATATGAACTGTAAAACCTTCTATTTTACCTAAGAATGTTTTCGAAAAAGCTTTAAAAAAATTTATTTATTAAAATTTATAATAATCGAATTATTTATTTTTTATTTAATTGTTTATTTTTTAAATATAGTAGTATATATTAAATACTCTAAATATTATACAGCATAATTGGCAAAGTCTTATTACATAATTTATCAGAATTAAAAGTAAAGTATAATAAAAAACAAACTTTTAATTAATTATCTTTGCAAAAATAGAAAAAAAGCCAAATTTTAATTTTAAATTATTAACTTAAGATTCTAAATAGAAAAGCATTCGAATTAAAAAGGAAATCCCCACCCTACATACCTCAAACAGTATATTACCTCATTTTCGAAATTTATTTTTAATATTTCATCATTAATAATACTTTTGAATTTCGTTAATATTTGTAATTAACGATAGTGAATCTTTATATTGTTTCACTTTATATATTCCATTTTGTAAAAATAACTAGAAAGAAAAGTAAAAGATAATTGATATTTACAATATCTGCTTAAACAGACTCTAATAAAATAAGAAGAAACAAATTAATCTATAAAATTTGACTCCTAATAATCTAAATAAATCAACAAAAATTGCTCAAATTTTTTATTTTTTTTTCATGACAAATATTTTTTAAGTATTTCTATTACATTTTAATTATTTTATTCTACAAATATTTAGAACATTGTGCCTTTTTTATATTATTTTTATTTTATTATAAACATCTGTATTTCATTTTTATTTTTAATATGATTTTTTTGTGTTTTATTTTTTTGTACTTTCGAATGAATTATGTTCAATCAAAAAGTGTATTCAACAAATTTTAAATTAAAGAGTCTTTGATGATCGAAAATTCACAAAAATTTATTAATATTTAAATTCTAATTGATATTTTTATGATAAATAGATAAAGTAAGTAAAAATATTATTTTTTCAAAAAAAATAAATTATGAATTATACATGATACATATTATGCATTTATATGTTTATTCAAACATTTAAATTCTAAAGTTCAAGGTTTTTATTTAGGTTAATTTATTCATTATATATTCTCTCATGCTAGTCATTTTCGGTGTCTTTGTAAAGCTCTTGGATATTGCTAAAATTTAACCATCTTGTTTCAGCAATGTAGTTTATTGAAAATAGAAATCCTAAGAATGCAAATGAGCCATAAATTATATGATTTATATATTGATAAGGATTGATCAACAATATTAATGAAAAGAAAATTCCAAGCCAAAATGCCATCATGCTATAACTTAAGCCTCTATCTTTGAGAATATCTGTGGTTAATATTACTGTAACAGGACCAACAGTAAAGCTATATGCAGCATAAAAGAAAAATATAAAGAGGAGAAATATAAATTAAAGTGTAATATTTTCTTTTAGAGTACTCTTGCTACTAATTATGGCAAGAATAAATTAAAAAACTGAACATAGTAAGAAGCCTCCAACTAAATATTTCTTACGAGCTAACTTTCTGTTAAATGTCACTCCTATAACAGCTACAAAGAGAAGGAAAAAATAAGTTCCCAAAATTATGCAGCGTTAAAGCTCATAGTTGCTTGAAATTTGACCAATCACAATGTTTGAAAGACCTATAAATGCTATACAACCAGTCATTTGTTAGCAAAAATTTACTACTATTCCTACCCTCAAACGATTTTTATATGAATTCTCATATTATTTTATAGTTTCTACCTTCTATTAGATATCAGTTTTAAATATTTTTTGCTCTGCTTCTGACTAAAGAGTTTATTGTTCTACTATCTTACGCTAATTAATGGCTTAATGGTCCGGGACATCTATACAACTCGACTTTTAATGCTATTCTACAAAGTGGGGAACATATTTCTCTTAGTATATTTACTATAGGGCTTCCTTGCCTTAAACTTAATCTCCTTTTCTATAGTAATGGTAAGGAGTATCTATTTTGTAAAATACAAGAATTGAAATTATTCTTATTAGTGACAAAATAGCAGGAAAGACAAAAACAATTCTCCATTTATTTCCAATAGGTTAGTCATTGCTAGTAAACTCGTCAACTGGAATTTACATTAAAAAAGCAAGGATTCCACCAATAAATATATTTGCTTAGAACAGGCAACCTGTTTTACCAGCCATATTATCAGGTGATATTTCACGGATATATAAAGGAGTTACTATAAGATCAATTGCACATGATGTACCCATTAAAAGACGAGATATCATGAATAGTTCCCAAGTTGGTAGTTAAGTGAAAATAGTTGCAAGTAAGTAAATGAGATCTGAAATAATCATGCATTAGCGTCTTTCAATTTTTGTAGTAAAAAAAGGAATGAAATAAGAAACAATGAAACCGGATACACAAATTATGGGGCCGATAAGTAGAGGCATATAACGAGCTGCTTTTGTCAAAGGTTTACTTGGATCAGACATATCAAAAATTTCAATACCATTCTTACTTAAAATATAATTAACATTGAATAGTAACTCTGAAATCGAATAGCCTATATAAATACCTCCAACACAAACACTTTGAACTCTCAAGAAGAGAGATAAATCTGAAATATGATGATAATTGCTGCCAGGCATTTTATTAATATTTATATTTTTATTGTAAATTTACCTTTTTTAATTTATATTTTAATGCTATATCTTAAATATTGTTTTTCTACTTAGAATAATTATCTTATTGTATAATAGAATATTTCTACACAGTTATAAGGATTAAAAAAGTTGATAATAATTAATTATTTATAAATCAGTAGTGATAAAATTTATCAGAATCTACTTTAAAGAGGATTAATTTGTTTATTTGTTTAATTATTTTGCTAATGAATAAGTAGTGTCAAATTTCTTATAAATTTTAACAAAAAATTATTTCGTTATAACATTTATCTAAATTAAGCACTAAATTTATTTTATTTGATGAGAAGTTTTATTCAAATAGCAATTTTCATTTTTTTTGAGATTACAGTTTACATATCAATCCATTATTATAAATGATACTTTTAAGTACAGATCTTAAAACGTTTAAATTAAACTAGAATAAAAAAATCCGTTTAAAATAATATGTTACACATTTTTAGATTCTAAAAAATTATTTTTTTATTTTAAAATAAATTTTGACAGCAAATTTTTTGTTTATTTTTGAACACATAAGCTTTAACTAATTTTTAAGATTTTATGTTTTTAATACATGGATTAGTTGAAAGGCTAATTATTTATAAAGCCTTTTTTAATTATAATAAAAAATATATAATAGAAAATAATAAAATATGTTCATTTAATCTTTGAATTAAAAAAGTTTATTTGACTAATTTTAAATATATCAAACCCTCAAAATTTGATTTTTTATTTTTTGATTTACTACTCTGTAAACCATTTAGATTGTTACAATATTTCAATATTTAAAGTAATTGAATTTAAATAAAAAAAATAACCTAATCTATAAAACAGAAAGAAATATGGTTAATCTAAAAATAAAATATGTTTAAATTTGTAAATGATAAAAATTGTTCTTAATAGAAGACTACTTAAATTTCTTTTTTTACAAAAATTTTAAAATGGCTTATTCTATTATCAAATATTTTTATATTAAGATAAAATTGAAAGATATAAACTCTTATCGTTTGTTATACTATTAGTGTTTAATATCAATATTGTGTAGATATCGTATTATATTAATTTATTATTCAATATTATTAACTAAGGTTGTTACTTTAGTTAATTAATACATCTATTAATACGATGATCAATTAGAAAAAATTATTAACAGATATTACTAATTAAATATAAAACGAACTATTTACTATCTATTCTTAAAAGAATAGATTAAAATCTTAAATAAAAAATTTATAAAATAGACAACTAATTATTTCTTCTTTCTACTTGCTATATAATTCTAAAAAATTCTAGTTTTTTTGTAAAATCAGTATAAGAAATAATATTTATATCTTATATTTGTACCCATTTTTAGAGTTTTAAATATTTACTTTAATTTTACTTCATTAAACTAATCATAGTCCCTCTTTTTAATTATGAAATACTAACTTCTTTTAATATTTTTTAAGAATTTGTTTAAAATGAGAGAGCGAAAATTAGTGCTCATTATTAATTAAAGAAAATAATATTTTTTACTTTATATCTATATATATTCAAACTAGTAAAAAATCCTTTCTTAATTACGAAATAAAATTTATTATTAATAAGTCATACTGTAATCCAGATAATATGAATCATCAAATAAATAAGTAATGCGTATTTTTAAGATGATAAATTAATTAATTATCAAACTAACTAATTATTTTAAAACAAAAGAAATTTAAAATTATTGTAAATGTCAATTATATTTTTAACCTTTTATATTTTAAAAATGACATTTATTTATATTAAATTATAAAATTTAATATCTTTTATTAGTCCTTACAAATAATATTTTATATTTTATTATTAATTAATTAATTAAATGGCATTATTTTTTTCATTTAAAATGTTGAAAATAGATAGAATCAAAATAATTAAAACTTTATCTTTTAATTATTTTTAATTTTATTTTCTATTATAAATTTCATTATAACAAAAATAAAAAATATTTACTTAATATAATTAAATAAATAAAATTTGTATTCACATTTCAAAAAATAGAATAGAACCTTTCCATTATATTACTATTAAATTATTAGCTTGGTTGAAGCTTTTCTAAAATGCCTATTATTAATTTTTGATTCAATTATTAAAGCATTTATTATTTATCATATAATTTGTTATGGCTTTTCAAGTATAATTATTTTAAAGTAAATTTCTTTTTTATTTGTTTATTAATTATAATTACTTATTTGGCGATTATTTTTAAATAGAAATTTTAAAAGACATAACTAACAATAAGTAGAACTAAAAGTATATAAATTAATAAAGCAATTAAAGGAAAAATGGCTTCAATACATTTTTTTAAAAGAGTGTCTTTTATGTCAATTATATTAATCCTGCATGTAAAAGGTTAAAACGAAAAATGTTAAATAGGATGTTAAAGTTGTAATAATTAGATTTAAAATACACCATGCAGTTAGTGTTATGAAGGCTATCAATTGTAATAAGAAACTGGTATTTGCTAATACACTTAATGCAACCCTAATCTCTATTTTTAAATACAAGCTAACTAAAACAGTGATTCAAAAGGTGATTGTGTATCAGTGTGTAACCCTTTATATTTAGGGGAACCTTAAACTAATCTATGTACTAAGAAACTAACCTGCTCTACATCATTCTTAACTTAATAAAACTTTATCAACTCTGGATAAGCTTAAGATATTTTTGTATATCAAAATTAATATTACATCGCCTTGCAATCAGGATTTCTCTCAGTATACAATATGACTGATATGTTCTTAATTAAAAACCTTTACTACGATAGTAATGATCTAAAAATATTAAATATAAATGGTTTTATTTTAGTAATAAGCAGTAATTCAATTTTGTCTCAATGGGAAATAGTGAACGAATAGAGATAGTATGGATAATCTTCGTAAAGTATTTCAATGACTTCTTAAACTTAATTTATCAATATTTAAGATTAGTATATTTTAGCATATAATATTTTATAAAGTAGCATAATCATTTAAGTAGTATATGATTAAGTAAATTAAACCTTTTCTTTTTCTATTCCTTAAGCGATTAGCTATAATGGTGAATAAATCAATGCAGCAAGTAATATACTAGTTTTAAGTAATTTAGATAATTGCTTTGTTTACTAAATTTCAGTTTCTATTTAGAATGGCTTATCTTTGTAAATTTAAACTCCATTTAGTTTTAAATAATAACTGACTAATTTATTAGGTTTGCTTTCGCCATAATAAGAAATATATTTAATAATATATTCAAATGGAATTTTACAAGTTGATATTATAAATAAAACTCTAGATGTTAAATTACTTATCCCGGATATTTAAAAAGCTTTGGTGTTTCAAAATTTTCAAAAATAAACAGCTTTGAATATTGTAATACTCACTAAAAAATCTATAATATAATATCAAATGGCAACTCAATAATAGATTTTTATTATTAAAGATTAGCAACTGTTGAATGATTTTGAGACAGTTAATTTTTCTGAAAATCTTCAACAGTTAGTTATTTTACAAGGAAATTATAATTTATTAATCTTTGATTTTGATTAAGAATCAGATTAATTTATTTAGAATCAATAAGTTATTTAATTAAATTACCCTTAATAGGTCATTAAAAAGATCATAATTTCAACGAACATTTAAAAATAATAATCACTTGACTTCATTCATTAATTAGTATTTCTTTCAGAAAGATAAATCTAAATAATAAAATAGAGTAGTTTTTCACAAAATCAGCTTGATAATAAAATAATTGAAAATTTTCAAATGAATTATCCTACTCCAAGCTCAAAAGTTAATTTTGTTCTCTTAATTTATAAACCGCCACTTCTTATCACTTGTCACTAAAACGGTGATATTATTTTTTACGATTCTTCTATTGAAAATAAAATAAGTCTAATTTAAAAAAAGAATTTTAATTCAACAAGTTGTTTGTTGTTAGATAGATTTTTTGATAATAGAATTGTAGCACTTACTAACTCATAACTTTTGCTTATTGATTCTTATCAATAAATATTAGTAAACTAAATTAGCTATAATTCGAATTCTATCTAATTCGCATGCAATTATAATATGCTGGCTGTCAATTAAAACAACTGTATTTAAATATATTCTTCTTAATTTTTAAAATTATTTGAGGATTGTGGAACTGATTTTTCAAAGAATAATTTAAATTTTGCTTTGAATAATGATTTATAAATAGTTTTATATAAATAGCAATAGATTTGTCTTTATTAAATAAATATAAACAATTCCACAGCCTAATTGATTAAAAGCATACCACTAATTAACTAAGTTATTTAATTTTAAGCTTTTAAGAATTTTTATTCTGAATTAGATTTTATAAATAATAATTTTACTATTGAAGAAATAACATTTTTTGACAGTTCAAACTCTTTTAAAATCTATGATCTATCACTTTCTCCTATTGATTAAATTTAAAATATTCAAATTTCAACAGTAGAGTAAATATAGAGAGTAATAAATGACAATTCTGTTTATACTCTGTATGGAAAATCAATTTAAAGTAAAACATATTCTATTTTTTTAGTATAAAAGTTTTCTAAAATACAAATAGAGGTAAAATAAAATTTTAACATGCATATTACTTAACCTATAAAAATTGTTAATTAATGTGGAAATAGTTTTTATCAATTCTATAAAATTTTTGAGTTAAATTTTTTCACTGTTCTAATAGAAACTTAAGTAGATATAAATAGAAATATTACTTACATCAGTAATCTTGACTACATAAATGATAGTTCAGATATATATACTTAAAGCTAAATTAACTTAGAAAATGGCTTAAAATATTTTGGTGGTGAAACAGGAATTACATATGTGAATAAAATAAAATTATAGAAATACTCTTAATTAATAACTTAACAAATGATACCTCAACTTGATTCGGCTGATTAATTTTAAGAAGTCATCCAAAGTACATAAGTTGGTTTATATTTTATTAGAACTAAAAATAAAATATTTTCTTTTGATATGTTTACTAATAAACTGATTGAGGAAATAGTTCCCAAAAAAATAGAAGGTGGTATTCCATTTACATCTTTTAAGTTGATTAATAATAATTAAATATTAATATGCTCAAATTATTAACAAGTCCTATTGGTAAATTATGTAAATGGTTAGAATAATAAATTTTATTTTTAAAATATGAATTAAATAAATGATTTTCTCTTTGAAAATTAAACAGACTAATTTTATATTTATGGTTCAAGCTTCTATTTACTAAATAAAGATTTAAGCTATAATTCCACAATTTCTGAGGAAAACAAAAATATTTTATTTTAGAAATGTAAAAATTCATTACAATTAATATTTTGTATTACATCTAATCAAATATTTATGATAATTGACAAGCATACAAATAAAATTATTTAAAATATACAAATATTTGGTTTGACTAGTCTAATTTCGATGGGTTTAGATGAAACTTATAATAATATTTACCTTTACAGTAAATAAATTTAAGTGTATAGCTTTAATGGAATTTTTAAAGAAGCTTATTAAACTACAAATACTGATCAATTTATTTCCTCAAAACCTCACTCTTAGTTTATGGTATTCTAATCCTATGAATGTAATTTATTAATTAATTAATTTATAAAAACTAAAATATATTTATTATATAAATATTTTAGGTATTTACTTTGTAAATCGGATTACTTTATAATTAATGCCTAATTTTATTCCTGGACCTTCTGGATCATTTATAAAAAGTTATGTGTATATCGACTTTTTATAATAAATAATATTATATCCAACAGGTACATCGTTTTCTTAGCTCTATATTTATGATATTAATACATTATAAAATATTGCCTAAATTTCAGGAGCTTTTTCTTCTAATTAAATCGGAGATATTTTGGATATAACATATGATATAGATTCATCTTAATTTATGTACTTGGATACATATGGTAATTTTTATGTTTATGATTTATATTCAAATTATCCAGTCTAGAATATATTTAAAATTTCTGAAATTTTTGATAGAAACGAAACTCTTGTTGGTTATTCTTATGATCGGGTAAATAATAATGTATTAGTTTTTAGTACAAATACAATATATTAAATTGATTATAGTATTTCTGGAGTTGAATACGTATCTCAACTTAATGAAGCAAACCAATTATTTGCAGCAATTCCTATAAGTAATTAGTAAATAGATTACTTGATATTTAATGATGATAATGTTATATTTAGATACTCCTAAAGCTTCATCAAATTTGAGTTTGAATTAAATAATTCTTAAATTAAAGATATAAAATATTATAGTAATACTGATACACTAGTCATCGGTTTATCAGATTAGATACTACTATACTAATAATACCAGTAATATAAACTAAAAAATTAAATCGCTAATATTCAGTAAATCAAATCAGTAAGTTTTTATAAATTTATAATAGAAAACATAGTACTGACTTATGATAAAAAAATAATTCATTTTGATATTTTAACATCAAAAGTTCTACATACAATTTAGTTTAATAGCTCTTAGTTTGTTACAAGTTATTAAATAAATTAGTCTTAAAATATTTTAGTAGTAGGTTTTAGTAATGGGCAAGTATTATAATATAACTTACTTGATTAATCTCTATAATTTTATTAAATCTAAAATTCGGATTTAATAAATAATTCTATTATAAAAATTATAATTTGTGAAAGTTAGTAATTATCATAACAAGTTTATGCAGTTTCTAACGGAGGAGTACTATTAGTAATAGATTTATCAAATAAAAATTTAATTTAAGAAGTGAATTTGATTACTTTAGTAAATGAAGATTCTCAATAGATTTTGTAAAGTTTCTCGTTTGACTCTACTTATTTAAGATATTTATTTGCTTTTAGAGGATAAAAAAAAGCATATGTTTGGAATATCACTAATAAATAAATAGAAAAGTATTTAATATAGACAAATTAAGAAGATAACTAAATACGATTAACTCAAAAGTTTATAATAACTTCATGTATTTCCCAACTAAATATTTACTGTTTATCTTCAAGAATATCTTTAATAACAGTTATTAAAAGAAATCTTGTGGATGACCAAATAGTTGACTATACAGTTGTTAATGATTATATTATTGCTATTTTTTTTATTGGAAAATATGAAGTGTTTTTGATTCAAGGAAGCACAAGCTTGTTAATATCTTAGCAGTTTTATAACTATCCTAGAATGTTAGGTTATATTTATGATTTTTCAAACAATTTTTTAAAGATATACGGACTTCATTAAACAGGAGTGTTTGAAAATAATTATAGTCTAGATATCTATGTAAGTTAAAATATTAATGACTGCTCCATCTTGATTTCTAGTAATGAATTAGAATAAATTAAACTATTAGTGTCTTCTATAACTCCTAAACAATAAATAATTTATACAAAATATGGCTCATAAACAGTAAATTAGAATGATTGGTCAAACTAAATTTATTTATAAATACCAGGTAACTATCTAAAAAATGTTTATTAATATGCTTATTAAACAAACAATAATATTTCTAAATTTTTAGTTTCTCCATTTGACTCATAATAGAATAATCTAAATTTTTATAATGATACTTTTAGCTAATTTTATCTCTAAGTATTAGAACTATCTGGTTTCTAAATTATCCTATAGAATGAAACATTTCAAAATATTGATATTGTTTAAAATTAAATAACAAAATAAGTAATATTTTAGAATGTCAATATAAGCAGTTAGTGTATAGATACTAATTAAATTCAAATATCTAATGTATAGAAGGTTATTTTTCAAAATATTCAAATTTAGTAATTGAAGTTGTGTAATAGCACTTATTAATAACAAAAAAGCTCTCTTTTTTACTTTTATAATATTTCAGAAATCTTTATCTATAATCTAAATGTTTTTAAAATTAATTTAACCTCATTATCTTATGTGTCACTTTTCTCATTTACTAATGTTGATAGTATTATGCTGGATGATATAAATATTTTTTCCAATACTAATCTTTAGTTACTATCTTCATTCTAATAAATAAATACCATCAATATTTCTAATTTGTAAATAATCTCAAATTTAATTGATAATTAAAACAAAATCTTAGATAATATTTCTCTGATCATGTTTTTTGGATGTCAAAAAATTGCAATTACAAATTCATTGATTTAGTCTAATAGTTAACTGCCAATAATTTATTCTTTTAGCAATTTTACATAAAATGATCAATAAATAATATTGATAAGTGATGAAATATCTTTTTCTCAAGTACAAATATAACTAAATAAATTACCTCAACAATAAATTATACTATTGCAAAGTTCATTTGTGCAAATAACAAATCTCATTTATTAATAAAATTATGGAAGCTTTTAAATTAAAAGTTCAAAATAAGCAAAGATTTAAGTTAGCAATTTTACTTAAAATTAAGCTTAAGATGGAGGAGCTATTTATTTTAAAAATATTTTGAATAAAATAGAAATTGTTTAATCTTTTTTTATGGAGAACTCTGCTTTAGGAAGTGGAGGAGCTTTAATATTTGAGAATATTAATAGTTGCTATTTATTATTTGATAAAATTACTTAAATTAGTAAAAATAAAGCTTTAATTGGAGGAGGTTTAAGAATTATTTAAACTGATGGCAATTAATTGAAAATACCTTAGCAGTTTCCTTTTTATAAAAATGTTTTCTAAAACAAAGCTGATTTATACGGAAATGATTCAGCAACTTATCTTTAAAATATATCCGTTGAGAATTTTAATGATTAAGCAACGCAAAATGGCTACTATTTTGCATTAAATTAAAATAGTTCAATAATCCCTACTGATTTATAGAAAAACTATTAAAAATTCATAAATATTAAAAATTTTTAAAGTGGAGGTAATTTATAATTAAAGATTTTTATTTTAGACAACTATTAGAGATATTTTTCTTTTTCTAAAGATGATTTACAACAAAATATGTATCCTGATAGTATTGGTCAAGAAATTTAGAATATTTAAATATAAGTAGAGGCTTTAAATTAAGATAAAACCTAACTTATTGGAGAAAAAATCATTAACTATATATAATATAATTAAGTAAGCTAATGTTTTGAATTAACAAGCCTCTAAATATTAGGAATAATAAATACATATTAATATTTTTCAATTAGCTTTAATATAAATTAAAACTCTATAGACAAGTATTAAATATTAGTTTCTATTGATTTTAGAAAATGTATAAAAGGAGAGATCGTCTAATAGATTAGTAAGTATATTATGGTTTGTAAATCTTGCTTATTAGGAACTTACTAGCTTATTGATCCTACCACTTTGTATCAATAATCTTTAAATGATCCTAATATAAAAAACGAATGCAAAAACTGTCCTGCATCTGCTCTTACTTGTTAAGGAAGTAACATACAGCTAAAAAATGGATTTTGGAGATAAAATAATTTAACAGATCAGATTATTCCCTGCGATTCATCGATAGGTTAGTGTTAAGCTCAAAACCCTTAAAGCATTAATTATTGCATACAAGGTTACATTGGTCCAATTTGTTAACAATGTGATATTTTAGGAGAAGTATGGAATGGAAATCGTTATACATAGTCTCTCACAAAAGGTGTATGCAAAATATGTGATACTCTAGCTATCTAATGGCTTTACATAATAGTTAAAGTAGTATTATTAGAGATTTATTTTATCTATACACTTTTTATATTTATAAAGTAATTTAAGCATGTTTAGACATGCTATTATCTTAGAGCTATGAAAATACTACCAATAAGTAGGAATAGTATAAGAGATTATTCTGGCTTCTATATTAAGATTCTTATAAGTTATTACCAAATATCTTCTTTGATCATACCGTAGCCGAAAGCTATACCTATAAATTTAAATGTATTGGGTGATATTGTAGGAGAAACAGGTAGATAGCTTTCACTAGGTATAGATTGTATTTTCGGTGCTCATGTGATAAAAAGTACAAGTTATATACTGTTTAAAAGTCTTACCTAATTTTTACTTCCTTTGATTTTGCTTATAACTGTTCCTGCTATTATTAAAATATAACAAGAGTTCACAAATATAACTCCAAAGATATATCACTATTTTACTTTTTTGCAAATTAATTTTATTTTCTTCTAGATTAGTCAAATAGCTTATTTTTCAAAAGCCTTAACATGTGTATAAATAGGAGATTAATAATATAACTCTATAGATCTTTCAGTCCCATGCAAAGATAAAACTACTTCTTAATTTTTATACCTATTTTCATTACTAGTTTTATGCTTCTGGACTCTTTATCCATTAATATTTTTATGGTTAATATATAGGAAATAATAAAAATTGAATGAATGCATAACTATTTACTCTTATGGTTATTACTATAGTGAACTAAAAAATCAATTATACTATTGGGAATTCGTGAGAATTTATTTGAAAATTATAACCATATATATCTATAGTTTCCTTTTCAATAATACTGTCAGTCTTTGGACTATTACTATAATGTTTAGTTACTATTGTAGAGTTATTTCTTATAAAAATCCTTTTATTTCAATTAACCTGCAAAAAAGTGAAAAAGCAGCTTTTACTCTAATGATAATAAAAATATACTTATATATTTTATAAACCTATTATAGTAATCTCTAAATAGCTATAGAGATTACATAAATTGCTATTGATTACTTTTTCTTTTTCTATCATTTCGTTCTAGTAGTTATATTCAAAGTTACAAACTAATAGTCGATTTTAGGTAAGGGATTGAGATTTATTTTTAAAATATTACTCTCAAAATAACTATTTGAAAAAATTTCATAATATCATACAATAAATTTTAAAACATATATTAGATGGAAGTTCATTAATAAAAACATCAAATTTTTATTAAAATCAAAAATAAATCCAAAGTAAAAAGCAAATTCCAAACAATTAAAAGATACTTAATAAACTCCAATAAAAAAAAGTGAGATCATGTGTAATTTTTTTATTTAAATTAATAATTATTTATTTATTTATTATTTAAGTTTTTAAGAACAAATATTCTTCCAAGGATAAATCATTTATCATAGGAACTCCTTTGAATTAGTCTAGATAAAATTTTTTAAGGTTGTAGCATGAGTAATCATCATTGAATTAAACTTAAATGTAGATTTCATAAAAAAGTTCCATACATAAAGATTTTATTTGAACTTGCTTTTTATTATAATAAATATAAAGTATATAAAAAAGTAGAGAGTAAATCAGATGTATCATTTAAAATTATAGATATTATATTTGTAATAAATTTGTTTATTAAGTAATATTTTGCTCTATTGACCAAAATATTTTTTATTAGTAGTGTTTGCATTTTTTTATTAGTATAAACATTAAAACTATTTTTATTAATTGCATCTAAATTGATAATGATAACAATTTTAAATCTTTTTCAACTAATATAATATCTTATTGAATATAAAAAAAGCTAATATAATTCAAAATTATCTTTGAGAAGTAGATCAGAATATTTATTTTATAAAAAATTTAAATATTCCAAAATTTAAAATATATAATTTAAAATTATTTATAATATTGCTAATCTTTACATTTCAAACTTAAAAATTAATTTTATATTGATTATAAATAGCATAATTATTTAATTAGATAACTTATTTTTGTATTATTTAAATAAACACGAAACTTTATAAAATTTATTATTTTTTTAATTTGTAATTCTTTGATTTTTAGCATTTTTATATTAATAAAAATATTTATTTATCTAAATTTTTAATTTAAATATTTTATTTAGTTATTTAATTATAAAATAAATTTATTTTTAATAGGAAAACCTCTATCTTTTAATTAATTCTTCTTAATAAAGTATGTAACTTGCAATTTAAAAATGAAACATAGTAAATTAAAATAATTGCTAATATTCTATCAGAAGTTAGATATAAATTAATTCTTCCATTAAAGAATCTACTTATTTAAGAGCTATAATAATCAAAAACTTACTTTTTTTGTCTATTTCTATGGTTTAAATACTACATACCTTTTTCATTACATAATGATTAATATTAAATATAATACTAAATATTTTTGTGAAAGGTTTTATAACTAATATTTAAAAGATGAAGATACCAATTTAAATTATTTAGAATTATTTAACTTAGCAAAAGGCTTGTATCATGCTTACTGTAGAAGATGCTAAGACTTAAAGGTATCATTTTAATATACCTGATGCAACTTAGAGATACCAAAAGGAGCATTATTTAAACTTTGTTAAAGGTTCAAGATTCTTTTTAACTGAGTTATCACCAGAAAATATAAATGGATTACTAGGGTTGATGTGCACAATGAGTGCATAAGATAGGAGTGAAGACACTTGCTTGTATGGAGCTGGTATAACTTAATTTTTAGAAAGCACACGCTATCTTATGCAATTAAATATGAATCTTCAAAGCTGTTATGACTTTTAAACAAAATAAACATTATTAGGATTTCAAAATGGGCAAGATTTAGTTAAACATTTTGTGTCTGATTCTTCTTATTGCCCTCAAAAATAATATAAATTTAATAAATTTATCTAAGAAAATAACTTAAAAGCTAACGATTCAGCAAGATACATAAATGATTAAAACGAATACAAAGATGAATTTGTAACTATTTAGCCATTAATAATGCAAAATCAATAGGGTAAAATGAATATCAGTTACATAATAACTACTAAGCAAATAGCAGGCAAAGTAATTAAAGAAAAGCTAAATGAGTTTAATGTTCCACCAAAATTAACTGGATAGTTATTGAAAGATGGCTAAATCACTCTTCCTGATGGTAAAGTTGTTAATGTTAAAGATGTTAAGGAAGAAGATATTGATCCTCAAATAATAATTATTTCTGATATATCTGATTATTCAATTCTTAACTAGCTGATATCTTAAGAAAAGATAAAATAATTAATTGGAAAAAACATTTCAGCATTAGTTACAATTGCATAACCTGATATAATAGAAAACGATCTTTATTAAAATAATTTCTTAAACTCTTTAAAGCCTGTCTAACACTTAATTGTGAATAGCGAATATAAATATCATTTAGAATAATAAGAAGTAGAAGTTTTAGAAAAAACGCATAATGAAAGAGTTCATCATGTAAATGAGCTCAATAAATACTTCCCTCTTCATTTCCCTAATTTGTAAATTGAAAATTTGACATCGCGCTTTAAATCAGGAGAAACTTCCAAATACTTTTAAGGTAAATAAAATGAGTTTTTGGGGACTCCATTAAAAGAGCTGATTATTTATCCTTTTAATAAGCCTTATAGCTTGCTTAATTAAACTAAATAAAAGGTCAGCAAAAAGAAAGAAGTTTCAGATGATTTTATTAAAAATTTCGAAAAGTTAACTTTAGAATAAGAATAAACAAATTTAAATGAATAAAATTAATAAAGCAATTCCAAGATAGTTTTCCTTGGGACGGGAAGCATGATCCCACTACCTTCAAGAACGGTATCAGCAATACTAATAGAAAACAATAAGAACAATATACTTTTAGATTGCGGAGAAGGTACATATTCACAGATTTTATACTAATATGGAGTAGAAAAGAGCAAACAAATAATTAAAGATACAAAATTCATTTTTATATCTCACATCCACTTAGATCATTGTCTTGGTTTATTCTATTTTCTTTTTAAAAGGGATTAAATTATCTAGGAATAATCTAAAGAATATAATAATCAAAATGACGTTTACATTCTTTTGTCTTCGAACTTGTTACCTTTAGTTAGGTCTTTTGATAAATACTCCTATAGATTTTCTAAAAACAACAAATTCATAATAACTAATGATTATAACATAGAAGAATAAAAACTTTAGGAACTTATAAATCATGCTAACAATAGCGAAGATTTTGATGATAATGATCAGCTGATTGGTGATACTTTATCTTTATCTCCATATGAACACCCAAAAGAATAGTAAATTCTTAGAAACTACTTTAGTAATTCCTCATAGTACCTAAAGGAATTCAAAGAAAAAATGAAAGATTTTATTCAAATCAATGATTTGCAAGTTTGTGAAGTAATACACTGTGGATAATCCTATGGGATATCATTAAATTTAATTTGGGGAGAAAGGAACTTTAAGATTAGTTATAGTGGCGATACTCGTCCCTGCTCAAAATTCGAAGAAATTTCTAAAAACTCTGATGTATTCATACACGAATGTACTTTTTCTGATGACTTATAAAAAAATGCTGAAGAAAACAACCATGCGACTTTATCAGAAGCTATTAATAGTTGCAAAAATTCCTCATCTAAAATGCTTGTCTTAACTCATTTCTCTCAGAGATATTCTTAAATTGAAGTAGAATAGTTTAAAGGTGATAAAGATTTTTTAAAAAATCACACAATAGTTGCTAATGATCACTTTTAAGCACCTTTCTATGAATATACTTTTGATAGTTATTTGCCTCAGATAACCTAACAAGCATAAAAGATATTTTCTAAAGAAGAATAAAATTGAAAATTTTTTTATAAGTGACATATTATTTCTATTAAATATTTTTAAATGTATGCTAATAAAAATAAAGTGCATAAATTTGTTCATTTTTTTGGACCATTTTAAGAGAATATAATTTGTTTTTGTTTTTGTTTTTTAAAATTCAAATGAAATATTGTCAATTAACTGAATTTTTGTCTAATAAATTTAATTATTGATTCTTTATTTACAATTAAATCACCATATAATAAAAACCAATATCTCCATTTTATATTTAAATATATTTACTATATTTTATAAGAGGACTATTTTTAAAAAGAACAAAAATAAAAATTATTTTAAGATTTTAAAAATAATATTACAAATTACTTAAAAAATAAATAAATTGTGATATATCAAGATGAATTATAATAAAAGCTAATTGGATTTATTGTGAAAATAAATGTAAAATGCTAGGTTTCTTTTTAGGCTAAAAAAAGACTCTTCCTTATTTAAATAAATTTAAATAACTTGAATTTGTTTAAAATAATTTGTTATGGACTATTGTTAATCTAATTTTTTCTTTTATTTTAAAAGAATTTTTGGCTGATTTTATCACAATTTTATTCACAAAAACAAAAACAAAAATCACTTTTTCACAGATTAATAACTTATTCAATACTATTTTTAAATGGTTAAAACTTATTTACTTATTTTAAAAATATTTAAATAATCAAAAAATTATCAAAAAATAATGCTTATCCTTGTTTTTTCATGCTATAATTTTCTGAGAATTTAATGTTTTGAGTATTTAAATAAATTTTAATGTCAAAATTAATAATTATGGATTCCAAAATATTTTAAATAAAGATTTAAAAAAAGCATACCAAGAGTCGCGAATGATTCATCACTTTTAAGCCCCTTTTTAGCAATTAAATTTTGATATTTATTTGCCTTAGAAAACCAAATATGCTTAAAAGATACTTTCTAAAGAAGAATAAAATTGAAAATTTTTATAAGCATCATGCTATTTCTATTAATAATAAATGTATGTTAAAAAATAAAGTGCAAAAAGTTGCTCATTTTGATTATTTTAAGAGAATATAATTTGTTTTTCTTATATAAAATTCAAATGAAATATTGGCAATTAACAGAATGTTTGACAAATAAAATTAAATTATCAATTCTTTATTTTCAATTAAATAACCATAAAATAAAAACAATAATTTCCATATTATATTTCCAACTTTTTATAAGAAAGGCAGACTATTTGTAAAAAGAACATTAAAAATTATTTTAAGATTTTTAAAATAATATTACAAATTACTTAAAAAATACATAAATTTTGATATAAAGATGAATTATAATAAAAGCTAATTGTATTTTTTGTGAAAATAAATGCAAAACACTAAGTTTCTTTTTAGGCTAAAAAGAGACTCTTCCTTATTTAAATAAATTTTAATATTGAATTTGTTTAAAAAGAATTAGTTATGTTAATTAGATTTTTACTTTTAATTTCAAAGAATTTTTGGTTGATTTTATCACAATTTTATTCACACAAACAAAAACACAAATCACTTTTTCACTAATTAATAACTTATTTAATACTATTTTTAAATGGTAAAAACTTATTTACTTATTTTAAAAATATTAAAATAAAAAAAATAATGCTTATCCTAGTTTTTTCATGCGATTATTTTCTGAAAATTTAATTTTTTGAGTATTAAAATAAATTTTAATTCCAAAATATTTAAAATATAGATTTTTAAAAAAAGCACACCAAGAGTCGCTAATGATTCATCACTTTTAATCACCTTTTTAGGAATATAATTTTGATAGTTATTTGCCTTCTATAGCCTAATATGCATAAATGATATTTTCTAAAGAAGAATAAAATTGAAAATTTAAAAAAATATCATCTAATTTTTGTTAAATAAATGTATGTTATAAAATAAAGTGCAATAATTTGCTCACTTTGATTATTTTAAGAGAATATAATTTGTTTTTGTCATATAAAATTCAAATGAAACATTGGTGTTTAACAGAACGTTTGACAAATAAAATTTAATTATTAATTATTTATTTACAATTAAATAACCATAAAATAAAAACAATAATTTCCATATTATATTTCCAACTTTTTATAATAAAGGCAGACTATTTTTAAAAAGAGCAAATAAAGAATTTTTGGTTGATTTTATCACAATTTTATTCACAAAAACAAAAACACAAATCACTTTTTCACCCATTAACAAATTATTTAATATTATTTTTAAATGGTTAATGCTTATTTATTTATTTAAATAATATTAATATAAATATTTAAATATCTTTTAAATAATAAAAAAATTATCAAAAAATAATGCTTATCCTTGTTTTTTCATACTATTTTTTTCTGAGAATTTTTTTAAGTATTAAAATAAACATTCTAAATTCTATTTATCTGATTACCACTTAAAAATCAGTAATTGCTCGATGTTCATTGGTATATTCTTATGAAAAACTCCACAATTTTAAGTTTTAAATTTATATTACATATATTAAAAAAATAAATCACTATCTTAACAGAGAAAGAAAACAAATAAAATGAAAAAGCTTTACATTTTTATGTTTGCAATTTTAATTGCATAAGTAGAATCATTAAAATGCGGATAAGGATGCTAAACCTGCAGTTCTATGACTAATAGTTAAATCCCTATTTGCACTTATTGCTCAGCAGGGTATCAATTAAGCAACGGTGATTGCATTTACTAAGATTGCTAACCTAATCTATACTTCTAAATAGATTAAACATAAGAAGATAGCTCTATAGGAAATTGCTCATCTATTTGTGATCCATTATTTAATACTGATGATAATACAAAAACTTGTCAAAAATTGGTTGAGTGTTCTTCAATTTATTCAACTTAACCTAACTTCTTGAATGCTGGTATTCCTACAGATTTTTTTATATACCAACAAATTTATTATGTGGCTTTTTAGTAAGGCTATCTCTCAATTTATGACAAAAACTTGTTAGGTTTAATAAAAAATCTCAGCTACGAATAAGATGACTTAACTATCTTTAGCCTAAATGGTTCAATAATTGTTTTAAAAAAAGACTTTACTATCAACATTTGGGATATAGTAAATGAGCGCAGGTATTATATAGATCAAACAAGCATTATTACGATCAATTAATAAACTAAATTTACATTGCTTTTAGATAGCTATTTACTTGCTTATAAAGTTGAAAATCAATCATCACAATTCTAAATCATTTATGATTTTGCGTCACCAAATTAAATTGTTTCTAATTTTATTCAAATTAACGAAACATGTTAATTTACCCAAGTTATTAATAACTTTTTATTTTTGGGGAATTCAACAAATTTGATTGTTTACTAAATTAGCTTTTAAGCCTAAAAAGGAAATTTAAATTTTACCCAGCTTATATACTTTTCATTTAAAAATTAAGGAGATCTACAATCAATTATTTAATCAAATAATTCAAGTGCGTATTTTGCAATTTTTACTAATAAAATAGCAATAATTGATATAGGTGCTTAAACATTTTTGCCTTTAACTTCTTTAACGTCAATTAAAAAAGTAAAATATATCCCTTTTGGAAATTAATTAAACGATCTCCATTTAATAATACTTACTCAATAAAATTTAATTGATTATAGTTTTCTCACTTAATAATAAAATATTATTTTGAGTGAAGCATAAACAATCACAGACTTTGATGTTGGTAATTTTTCAGGAACTGATATATAACTAGCCATTCTATCTAATTCATCAATTTTAGAAATATATCATATTAATAACAATATATATAATTAGTATTAAATTATCTCTTTGAAATTCACCAGCCAATCTTTGAAAAAAATACCAATTTAATACAATTCATAGTTATTGGATTATTAAACGAAATATGAAATTGTATTTTATTCTTCTACTTCAATTTAAATTATCAGAGAGAGTAATATCTAATAACAATATTTAGAAGCAACAATTATTGAAAATTACAATCTTCCATTTCCTTCTCCTTCATCTTAAGTAAACTCTCTTGTTTTTGTTTACTCTCCTGAGCTTCTAATCTCTTGTCACTAAAATGGAGATATCATCTTCTACGACGCTTCAAGATAAACAAATATTTATCTAATTTAAAAATTGAATTTAGGAAGCTAACCATGCAATTTATTATAGAGATTCTCTGATAATAAAATTGTAGCGTTAGCTGGCTAAAATGTTTTATTTATTGACCCCTCTCAATAAATAATTTTAAATAAATTGACTAATTTAACAAATATAGTTTAAATCACTTCTAATAATGATAAATTAGCAATCATCTATAGTAACTGTATTTAAATAATTTCATCAGAATTTAAAAGTCTTTTCTTAGAATGTCAAAGTGATTTTTCAAGCAATAATTTAAATATTGCTCTTAATAATGATTTAACAGTTTTCATTCAAAAATAAAGCTAAATAGCTATTTATCAAATTGATCTATCAACTAATAGTGCGTAAATTAAATATCTATTACCATCAGCTTAACAAATATAGTAGTTCTAAGCTATATAAATATTTAAAACTGATTAGGATACAATATTAAATAATTATACTATTGATGAAATAGTATATTTTGATAGTTAAAATAATTTTAATATCTGCAATATGTCTCTCTAAATTATTTATACTGTGCAGCTAAGCTTAATTTAAACTGTTATTTCTGTGGTAAGAGTTATTAATGATGCTTCTGTATATTTTTTAGCAGGATATCAACCAATTACAGGACTATATAGACTTTTTTTGGTTTCAAAAAATATAGATTCTTCTATTTTATTGAACTCTAATTTTTATTTTCCATTTATAAGTGAACCTAAAAAACATGTTAATGGATATGGAACCATACTTTATAGTGTTAAGAGATCTCTTGGACTAAGTTTTTTTACTTTATTTAAAGAATACTAAGTTGATATCAATAAAAATATAGTATATATCACCGGTCATGAGTATATTGTTAATGACAATGAGTCGGCATTTTAAAGTAAAATGATTGGATCCACTTCTAACTTTTTAAATTATGCTGGGACATAATCAGGGCTAATTTATACTATCAAATTGCAATAAAATAGATATTAAGAGCTAACATCAGATAAAATGTTATATTCTTTTCAAAATAATGATTAAATACTTGAAATAATTTAAAGTGCTTATCTAGGAATGTATTTTATTCTAACTAAATACCAAATAACATCTTTTAATATTTTTACTAATAAATTTATTGAATAATTAGCACCATAATAGCCTAATGATCCTCCTTTTACTTCATTTAGTTTAGTTTAGAACAATAAAAGCATTGTTTGTTGGAATTAATATTAACTGCTTTATGCTGTATACGGTAAAACACCCTAAAAATATTATTATAAAGGAATGAGTCTTATTAATGGATGGATTTACAGTCTTTCTACCAATTCCTTTTATGTATATGGTAGCAGTTTACAATTACTTAACTCCCAACTAACACTTATTCAATCTTCTTCTGATTAATAATTTAATAATCAATTATTGTAGTGCTAAGATGCTTCTTAAGTTATGGTGTGCAGTATCTCAGTAAATTCATTTGTGATTGTAAAGAAATTAGTGAACTAATTCTCTTTCTAAAGTGTCTAAGTAAATGGTTTTACAAGTTAGTTCATGATATAAGTGGATGAAGAATACAATAATATATTTTTATATGATTAATAAATCTAAGTATATAACTTAAATGGAGTCTATATTTTAGGATATAAATTTGATACTTAGTTTATTTCCTTAAGTTTTTCAGACACTCGCCTAATGTTCTTATCATAATCATGTAAATAAATTTTAATTCTTTTTCTTTTTTTAAAAAAAATATTTTATTTAAAAAATATAAGACATCTACTTTATTGATAGAGTATCATTGAATTTGCAGTAAAATTATATCTAAGCCCCATCTGGATTGCTTATTAAAAAATTTTTTACATAGATTTTTTGAAAAATATAGTCCTTATTACTAATTAATATACTTTTACATAAGTTTTTGTTTACGACTCAGAATCTTTGTTGACTATTGCAAAAATAAATGGTTCTTTTCCAGCAAACTCACTTGGAGATGTTGTAGATATATTTTTTGATTACAGCAGTGCATAAATAACTTATTTAGATACAGTAGGTAATGTATATATCTATGATTTATATGCAGATTTTCCACTTCAAAGTAATTTCAAGATTACTGAAGTCTTGGATAGAAATGAATAATTAGTTGGTTTATCATATGATAATATAACTAATAATTTAATAATATATAGTACTTAAACTGTCTATTTAATTGATTATACATTATCAGGATACAGTTATGAATCATAATTGAATGAGGTAAATAATTATTTTACACCAATTACAATAAATAGTAATTCTTTAGAATTTTTACTTTTTAACAATGACAACGTGGTATTCAGATATTCAAAATATAATATTAAATTTGAAAATATTATAGATGGTTCACAAATTGTGGATTTTATGTACAATTTAGAATAGGATATTATGATTATCGCTTAAAAAGATCAAATTTTATTTTACTATAATTATCAATTCTCAAGAACTAATAACTAATTACCTGTTTTAAAAGTTCTAAAATAAATTTAATTCTTTAAATTTTTGTAATATAACATTTATCTTACCTATGATAAAAAAATAATTTACTGCAATATCTTAACTGGAGAGATTATTGATTTTGCTTAGTTATAACCATCTGTTGTAGTAACTTCGAACTTAATAAGTTAAAATAATAATAAAGTATTTATTGGCTTAAGTAATGGTTCGATTTTGTATTACGATTTAATCAATTTAAGTAAATAGTATTTTACTATTTAAAATAATAATTAAATTAATACATCAGTTATATGTATTATTTTAGATGAATCTAAAAAATAAAGTATTACTCTCTATTTTGCCACAAATGGTGGCATCCTCTAGATTATAGATGTAGTAAATAATAAACTCATTTAATAAATAAATCTTATTTCTTTGGTAAATGAAGATCCATCGATCATTTTAAAAGACCTTACAATTGATTTTACTTATTCAAGGTATTTATACCTTTTTAATGGATAAAAAAAGGTTTATATTTGGAATTATTCAACAAATTAGCTAGAATAATATTTAGCTCTGACCAAAGATTAAGGAAATAAGATATAAATAATATAAAATTACATAATAACTTTTTGCTCAATTTAATTAAATATTTATTCTCTTTCTGATTAAATAACTTTGATTACAGTTATCAAAAGAAACTTATCAAACGATCAGATTACAGATTATTAAATTATAAATAGTAATATAATCATAATATTTTTTGTTGCAAAATATGAGGTCTTTCTACTCTAGGGCAACTAAAGTATTATAATATTTTAATAATAATTTTAATATCCTAGATATTTGGGTTCTATTTACAGTCAAGAGAGTTAAATTTTAAAACTTTATGGGCTACATTAGTAAGGAATATTTGAGAATAATTTCAGTATCTCTTTATATGATAATGATCAGCAATTTTAGTGTTCAATTATAATAAGTGATGATGATATTTCTTAGTTAAATAGAAAAATTTCAAATATCTCTCCTAAGCAAGATATAATTTACACAATATTAGGATCATCGACTTAAAACCAACAAAATTGGGAGAATTTAATTTACTTATAAGTAACAAATGATTAATTCATAAGTGTTAATTAATATATTGATTAAAATAAGATTACAAACTCAAAATACGTATTTTATCCACAATCAAACAATAATAATCTTACTATTAGTAGTTAAACATTTGATTACTTTTAATAACCTATTTTGCAAATTTTTAATTACAATTTAATATTTTAGAATGATATGAAGTAAACTTAGTAGATTTCTTTAAGTAAAAATGTTTAAATTTTCATTTTATAAAACATAACTATTAATAATTAATGCTAAGGAAATTTCTAGATTAACATATCAAATATTTAAAAAGTAATTCTTTAATCTGTTAAGATCTCTCAATTATAAGAATGCAGCAATAATAATACTGATAATGCATAACCTTACTTTTTAAATTTTTTAAACATACCTTAAATATAGATTTACGACTTAGATATTTCTGATGCTATGATTTAGCTCAATAAAAATTTTACTCTTCTTAACTTCAAAAATATAAACACTATAATAATAGACAGTGTTAATATATCAAATAATCAGAACATAAACTCATTCTTTTAATTTGCTTAGATAAACAATATCACTATATCAAATATTAAGATTAACAATAATTAAAACATTTAATAAAATAATAATTCTTTGAATAGACTCTTACAATAACAGGTTTAGGTATAAACATTCTAAAGTAATTCTGTTTTAAACTTTTTCGGATGTTAATAAGTGTTAATATAGAATTTGGCATTTTAAAACAATAAGCATGTATAATTGCTCTAATCGTTTAACTAATATATTTAGAATGAGTAACTTACAGTTTTATTTAACGATATATTTACATTTATTAATTTAAACATTACTTCTAATTAAAATCCTAACTAATAACTTTTGTAGATTTTAAACTCAAATTTAATATTACAGAGTATAATTTACAATTTAAACGAAGGGGTTTTCACGATAAGCTAATCTTAAACTGTTTCGATTTATAAAAGTGTTTTTTCAAGCAACATAGCGTAAAATGGTGGAGCTATTTTCTTTACAGACATATAAAAATAAATTAATTTTACTCAGTGCCTATTTTAAAATAATACAGCATATAGTAATGGTGGTGCTCTTTATTTTGAGAATATAGGTTCTACTTAACTTTATTTCGATAGTTAAACTATAATTATGCAAAATTAAGCTTTAATAGGAGGTGGATTGAGAATTATCTAAACTAACTCAGATAAAGTGATACTACCTTAAGGCTATCCTTTTGAAAAAAATATATACTTAAATAAAGCTAGTATATTTGGAGATAATTCTGCTACTTATCTTCAAAAAATAATAATATAAAATTCAAACACTTAAAATTCTTAGAATGACTACTAATTTGCATACTATAATAAGGAGAATAATATATCTTAAAATTATTACTATCAAGTTGATATTAATCATTTCTAAAGTGGAGGTTAACTTTCATTAAAAATGTTTATAGTTGACAATAATAACCGTTTTCTATCCTTTTCATTACAAAAATTATTAAATAATTCATATCCAAGTGATATTTCTAATGAACTTAAAAGTATTTAAATAACAATAAATAATTTAAATACTTAATAAACTTAACTAATAGGAGAGAGAATTTTAAATTATAATTAATATAATAGTGATACTTAATCATTCGAGCTAACTGGATTATAAATTTAAGGAGTTTTATCATCTCAATAATAATTTTCAATAGACTCTAGTATATAAACTAGCTCTTAGATATAGCTACCTATTCTTTTATAAATTACTTTTAGAGATTGCTAAGTAGGTGAAATTATTGAGGAATAAATAAATTAAATTATGATATGCAAAATTTGCTAGTAAGGCACATATTCATTAGTAGATCCTAAAAGTTTATTTTAATAATCACAAAATATAAAATCTGGAGTATAAAATGAATGTAATAACTGTCCTAACTCAGCTCTTGAATGCTAAGGCTAATTTATTTAACTTAAAAATGGTTATTGGAGACAAAATAATTTGACAGATGAAATTGTTGAATGTAATTCTTAATTTTTATCTTGCTAAGCAGAAAATCCTTCATCTATAGAATATTGCACAGAGGGTTATATAGGACCAATATGCTAATAATGTGACAATATAGGAGAAATATGGAAAGGATACAGATATAGTTAATCTGTGAAAAAAGGTTATTGCGAATAGTGTTATGATGAAACCATCTAATGGATTTACTTTTTACTTAAAATTATTGCAATGATTGCATATTTCTTATTCACTACTTTTGTTTTTATTTCATAATTTAAATATAATCAAACCTGTTATTATTTAAGAAGGATAAAGCTTCTACCTATTTCTAAGAGCTCAATAAGTGATTACTCTGGCTTTTATATAAAGATAGTAATAAACTACTTCCAGCTTTCTTCTCTTTTGTTACCTTAATCTTAAATTTTGCCAGTGAATATTAATATCTTAAGCTAATATTTAGGATAAACAAGCAGATAACTAAGTTTAGGAATAGAGTGTATGGTAAGTGTAGAGAGCTTAAAGAAATATGGATAAATAGTTTTCTTTTCACTAGTTTAATTTTTGATGGCAATCTTTCTTTTTATTCTTGTTTTAGTTATTCTTAAAACTGTATAAATTTTTATCAAAAATAAAAAAGTAGAGTAATACCATTACTTTACATTTTTCCATATCTTTATAATTTTCTATTAGATAGATTAAATTTCTTATTTTTCTAAAGGCTTAACTTGTGAATAAGTAGGTAGTTAATCCTTAAATCCTTATGATTTAAGAGTATAATGTGACGATATGAGTACAATTAAATTTGTATATCCATATTCAATTGTGGTTCTACTATTCTGGACACTTTTGCCAACTTTATTCCTTATAAAAATAATAAAAAATAAATCAAGATTAGATGAATGTAAAATTAAATATTTTTATGGATATTATTATGGTGAGTTAAAAACAGAATACTTCTATTGGGAGTTTATTAGAATTTATTTAAAAATAATATTAATATACATTTATATATTACTCTAATCAGCAGGTACACTTTCTATTATCTCAAGCTTGATTTTTATAGGAATTTACATAACAGCTCTTAGAAAGAGAAATCCATTCATTTCTTAGTAAATTTAATAAGGTGAAATTTAAGCTTATTCACTCTTAATAATCAAAATATACTTAAGTTAAATAAAAACTTCTACTTAAAGTATATAAGTATTTATTGAAGTAGTAGTTATTTTAATAGATTATTTATTTTTCTTAATTTGCGGATACAAAATAATTGTTTATAAAGCAAGATAAGGTTTTAGTTTCTTTAGTAGATTATTCAGGGGATTACTTTAAAAATTTTTAACAAAAAGATATTTCGAGAAAGTGATTAGTAAAAAAACTACTTTTAAGACATACCTTAACTGGAAATTTATTAAATATAATATATAAAAAATTATTCAATTGAAAGCTTCTTAAAACATAAATATAGCTGCATCCAAATTGAACTTAATTTTAACTAGTTAAAAAACTGATACTAATGAAAATGGTAATTATTTAATTTTTAAACATGTAAATTAATGAAATTTTAATTTTATAAATAAATAGCGAATAGTAAGAATACAAAATTTTCAAATTAAAGAAAGGTCTCATAATATTTATCAAGTGATAGTCTAAGCTCATACAGAAAAAATCTTTCTAGCGATTTCAAGCTACTAAACTTTCAATAGAATATATGTGAAGGCTATACTACACAATAGAATGATTATATATTAGAGTCAGACATAAATCAAGTAGCAGAAGAAGAAGATACTAAAAATCTTAAAATGTATAAATTCCATTCAAAATAATCAATTCTTGATTCTAAATAGCTTAATAATTGAATTTTCTACTTGTTTATTTGTGTTTTTAAAACTTCAAAAATATATATTTTTTTAATTATAATTTTTTTGGTTTTAAAAATTGGCATTTTTATAAATATTTAAATATTTTTGATTATAATTTTATGAATTAATATATGTGTTTATGTATTGATGTAAAAATAAATTTAAAAAAAAAATATTATTTAATCAATAAAAATTTAATTTGACTAAATCAATAATTATTATAAATCTTCATTAATTATGATATCTTTGCAGATATTTTTTTTCTTCTTGCCTAAAATAATGTAAAAGAAAAAATTTATTATTTAATAATTAAATAATGTCTAAATTTTTAAAAAGATATTAGATAATTAATTAAGAAAATTTTACTATTTTAATTTCATTTCAACTTGAATAAAAACAACTTAAAAATATAATATTACAATTAATAAAAGTATTAAAATAATGTAATTTAAAATTATAAAAAAATGATTAAAAACCTAAATATTATAAATTTTTATTTATTATATTAATCTATTTTTTTGTTTATTCATGAATTAAATTCTCGTATCTCAACTTCCGCAAGAATATAACTCATGAAAGTGCTATATTACATAACCACTTCTAAGAATAGGTTGCTATTGTAATTAGATTAATTATACCTCTGTAATTAAAAATACTGATTTAAATTAAATTATTCTATTAAAAAATATAAATAGAAACATAAAAAAACTTTATTAAAACAATAAGAATTTTCTACTATTTGAATAAAAAAAAAAAGTTAGGGAATAACATTTATTTTTAATGAAGTAGATTAAGTACCTGGTTTTAACTATTTTCATAGTAAACATATCTAAATTATAGGCTCAGTAATGCTAGATAGGATGCCAAGCTTGTGTTACTCTTAAAAATAATATATCCTCTTGTAATTAATGTTTAAGCGAGTATCAATTAATCAATGGCTCTTGCATATATCAAAACTGCCAGTAGAATTTATTCTACTAAACTCACAATAACTAAGATGAAAACTCTTAAGGAAGCTGCTAGTCTATTTGTGATCCATTATACTTTGCTGATTTACCAACAAATACATGCCAAAAATAGGTCAAATGCTCGTCAATTTACTCAACTCAACCAAATTTTTTAAACAACGGCATTCCAACAGATTTTTTTACATATCAAAAATCCTATTATGTATCTCTGTAATAAGGATATCTCTCTATCTATAATAAAAGTAAGTTAGATTTGGTAAAAAATCTTAGCTACTAAACAGATGATTTAAGAATTTAAAACATAGGAGATTTAGTAGTGATTCTCAAAAAAGACTTCTCAATCAACATTTGGGACATTATTAACGAAAACAGGTAGATCATTGATAATAGCAATATTGTTTAATTAAATTAACAAGCTTAATTTACTTTGTTTTTGGGTAATTACTTGCTAATCCAACAAATATAATAATCCTTTTCATAATTTAAATAAT